ATTTAAATGTTTCCAATATTTTTATAGTCTACTGGGGACCCAAGGAAGCTAAAAAAAAATTGCGACCGCGGGACTCGAACTCTGGACGAAATTACAGAGATTTTTCATCCATAATTTAAGAAAAAAAATTCCAATTTCTGCCTTGAATAAAATTTAAATGTTTCCAATACTTTTATAGTCTACTGGAGACCCAAGGAAGCTAAAAAAAAATTGCGACCGCGGGACTCGAACTCTGGACGAAATTACAGAGATTTTTCATCCATAATTTAAGAAAAAAAATTCCAATTTCTGCCTTGAATAAAATTTAAATGTTTCCAATATTTTTATAGTCTACTGGGGACCCGAGGAAGCTAAAAAAAAATTGCGACCGCGGGACTCGAACTCTGGACGAAATTACAGAGATTTTTCATCCATAATTTAAGAAAAAAAATTCCAATTTCTCCCTTGAATAAAATTTAACGGTTCCCAATATTTTTTCAGTCTACTGGGGACCCAAGGAAGCTAAAAAAAAATTGCGACCGCGGGACTCGAACTCTGGACGAAATTACAGAGATTTTTCATCCATAATTTAAGAAAAAAAATTCCAATTTCTGCCTTGAATAAAATTTAAATGTTTCCAATATTTTTATAGTCTACTGGGGACCCAAGGAAGCTAAAAAAAAATTGCGACCGCGGGACTCGAACTCTGGACGAAATTACAGAGATTTTTCATCCATAATTTAAGAAAAAAAATTCCAATTTCTCCCTTGAATAAAATTTAACGGTTCCCAATATTTTTTCAGTCTACTGGGGACCCAAGGAAGCTAAAAAAAAATTGCCACCGCGGGACTCGAACTCTGGACGAAATTACAGAGATTTTTCATCCATAATTTAAGAAAAAAAATTCCAATTTCTGCCTTAAATAAAATTTAAATGTTTCCAATATTTTTATAGTCTACTGGGGACCCGAGGAAGCTAAAAAAAAATTGCGACCGCGGGACTCGAACTCTGGACGAAATTACAGAGATTTTTCATCCATAATTTAAGAAAAAAAATTCCAATTTCTCTCTTGAATAAAATTTAACGGTTCCCAATATTTTTTCAGTCTACGAGGGAACCCGAGGAAGCTAAAAAAAAATTGCGACCGCGGGACTCGAACTCTGGACGAAATTACAGAGATTTTTCATCCATAATTTAAGAAAAAAAATTCCAATTTCTGCCTTGAATAAAATTTAAATGTTTCCAATATTTTTATAGTCTACTGGGGACCCAAGGAAGCTAAAAAAAAATTGCGACCGCGGGACTCGAACTCTGGACGAAATTACAGAGATTTTTCATCCATAATTTAAGAAAAAAAATTCCAATTTCTGCCTTGAATAAAATTTAAATGTTTCCAATATTTTTATAGTCTACTGGGGACCCAAGGAAGCTAAAAAAAAATTGCGACCGCGGGACTCGAACTCTGGACGAAATTACAGAGATTTTTCATCCATAATTTAAGAAAAAAAATTCCAATTTCTCCCTTGAATAAAATTTAACGGTTCCCAATATTTTTTCAGTCTACTGGGGACCCAAGGAAGCTAAAAAAAAATTGCGACCGCGGGACTCGAACTCTGGACGAAATTACAGAGATTTTTCATCCATAATTTAAGAAAAAAAATTCCAATTTCTGCCTTGAATAAAATTTAAATGTTTCCAATATTTTTATAGTCTACTGGGGACCCGAGAAAGCTAAAAAAAAATTGCGACCGCGGGACTCGAACTCTGGACGAAATTACAGAGATTTTTCATCCATAATTTAAGAAAAAAAATTCCAATTTCTCCCTTGAATAAAATTTAACGGTTCCCAATATTTTTTCAGTCTACTGGGGACCCAAGGAAGCTAAAAAAAAATTGCGTCCGCGGGACTCGAACTCTGGACGAAATTACAGAGATTTTTCATCCATAATTTAAGAAAAAAAATTCCAATTTCTGCCTTGAATAAAATTTAAATGTTTCCAATATTTTTTCAGTCTACTGGGGACCCAAGGAAGCTAAAAAAAAATTGCGACCGCGGGACTCGAACTCTGTACGAAATTACAAGATTTTTCTTCCATAATTGGGGAAAAAAAATTCCAATTTCTCCCAGAGTTCGAGTCCCGCGGTCGCAATTTTTTTTTAGCTTCATTGGGTCCACAGTAGACTAAAAAAATATTGTAAACCGTTAAATTTTATTCAAGGGAGAAATTGGAATTTTTTCTTCCCCAATAATGGTAGATAAATCTCTGTAATTTCGTCCAGAGTTCGAGACCCGCGGTCGCAATTTTTTTTTTAGCTTCCTTGGGTTCCCAGTAGACTAAAAAAATATTGGGAACCGTTAAATTTTATTCAAGGCAGAAATTGGAATTTTTTTCTCGAATTTTCAACGTTAAATCTTGGAAATTTCGTTTGGAATCTAAGTCTCGCGATCACAATTTTTTTTAAACTTCTTTTAATCCCCAAAAGACTGAAAAAAAATTGGGAACTGTTAAATTTTATTGTCGAGAAAAATTAAAAATTTTTCGTAGAAGTTGAACGGAAAATCTTTTAAAAATTAAATTATTTTTCTTTAACTTCTACTTGTTTTAAAAAAAGTAATAATATTTTTCCTATTTCTAAATGCATTTATTAATTAATAATAAAAGAATCATTTGTTATTGTAAATTTCAATGTTGTCGTTATTATTTTCATTATTTATTTTAAAAAATATTTAAATTCATTTTTGATATTTTTTCTTGTTATTCATTTGTTTTCTAATGAATAACCTTTGAATTATATACATTCGTTTTGATGTTTGAGATTTTTGACAAATGATATTCTTTTGTTTTAATACCAACTTGAATATTTCAAAAATTAAATGGGTGCTAATAAGTAGGTGCCAGCTTCAGCTTCATCACGTAGAGCAAAATATAAAAGAGAAACCAGGACTTTTACGATTTTCCCTTTTAATATTGTTGCTCTTGTGTTGATTAATTTCCTCTGTTCATTGCTTTCATTAAAAACGAATTTCACGCAATTACGATATTTTGAATTAAAAAAAATACTGTCCGTGAAATTAAAAAAGAAACTTGTCAAATTAGAAGATTTAACGCAATTTTCATGAGAATTTTAAAAATTGTTCTTATTCTCTTTAAAACAAACAGTTATACTGCAAGCGTAAATTTATTTACCATTTTTATTTTCATTACACGGAAAAATGTACTATTTTGTAGGTATTCATCCCTCGAAATAAATTTTAATTTACTGTGGGCATTTAAATGTGTGAGTAAATAAACAAACACTTGATTAACAAATATTGTCGTTGGACAAATTAATTTATCCAACTATAAATTAAAAGGAATAGTTAAATACATTATGCATATGAATAATTAATATTTAAATTATTATAAGTAACTGAAGAGAACGAGAAATATTTCATTCTTTAAATTAATGAGGCGCGTAGCTGTGAAAGCTTAAAAATAAAATTCACTGTTAAAAATATTTTTCAGATTTTAATATAATGAAAATAAAATGCATTTTATATATTTAATGGCATATTATTCATTTACCACTATATTCCATTTTTATTATTTAATAATTAATATTTATAATAATAATTTATATTAATAGAGTTAAATAAATGTAACTAAATAACCATAAAAATTATGATTATTTATAATAAAAAGTACCTAAAAACAGTAAGAGAGAATACATGAACCTTTTTCCTTCTTAAATAAATAAATAAATAAATAAAGTTTATTAAAAAATAAAATAAACGAATGAGAAATGAAATAAATTGAAAATGAAATGAGTATTTTCTCTTTTGAAAACCACTTCAATCAGAATAGTTTTCCAGGTCATAAGACGGGAATTTTCAATCGCTCATTAAGCCATAATCTATTTCTGAAATTCATAATAACAATTCGGAGAGAGAATTTTAGTATCGTAAAATATATTATATATTATATTTTTTTCAGAATAAAATGGATAATTTAGTATCCTTGACCTCGAAAAAAAGTAACTCTAGACACTCGTTCGTTTTGAAAAATAGTTTTGTCCTTTTGTATTTAGAGAGGACGAAAAATGTGACTGGCCGTGTTTTTCTATAAGCGAAAATATTATACATAGATCTTGTTCTCTTTTGCAGATTGTGGATAAAAATATATATACATTGCAGTGCAGTTGATTTGATTCGAATTGATTTTATTATCCCAGGTGGATGCGGTACTGATCACAGGCGTAGTTTAATTGTAAATTGCCAGTCCAAGAAAAAAAGTCGGAAATCTGTCCAAAAGATATGTGAAAGAAATGCAAAAAAGTCCATTTTAAGGGTCCTTGGAATTTTGCGCGTTAAGCATTTCAGCCATTAAAACAAATAAAAACTTTTACAAAGATTACAAACTTATTTGTTCTCCTCAGAGTTATTGTTTTTATGCTCTCTACTAAAGGAAAGTTGATGATCTATAAAGCCCATATAGAGTTAGATTTCTTATCTATATATACAGGATATTCTCTCTGTTGATCGTAAGTCTGTAAACCTGTTGTCAAAAAATAGAGTGTTTTAATGTAAGCTGACTGGAAAGATAATGAGGACCAGGATCAATCGGATAGGAGAAAATTTTACAACACTCATTGTAAACCAAGTGTTTATAAATTCATCAATAAGCGTAGTTTGCGCTTACATCGAAAAAGTGGAGTTTTCACAAATGAGAATTTAAACAAACGTTCTGCCATTACAAAACTCATTCAATGTGTAATTTTCATTTTAAAAAAACCAAGTACAATTTGAACAACAACTTTTGAAATCGAAAAATTTACCAATTTATAAATGAATATGAAAGTTTACCCAATCCTTTGCGAATCATCGTTAAATGAAATCGCCTTATTATAAAAAAGACAATTAAACTTGTAAGAATAGTTGACACTTGTAACCATTGTTACGGCAATTTCGAAATTAAATAAATTTTAGAATAAGAAATGAAAAATTGATATGAAAATACAGGTTGGTAAAATTTTTAGAATACCAATGGCACGAGTTTTCATTCATGAATCACCGGCGCGACGTGTACCCGTTTTCAATTGACGAGAACACGCGTCTCAGTGTGACGTCAGAGCGTCGCGGTGCTGGGCGTCGGACTGGTTCTTGGTAGCATTCGTTGGGGCTCAACCGAGGATGATTCTGGCAGCCGCGCAAGCGTTTTCCAACGGCGCCCTTCAGTAAACGATATGCCAGCCTCCCCTTAAATGTATAAGCAGTTTGAAAAACTATTCAGTTGACTCAACCAAATACTCAAATTACTAGATGGGATTTTAATCAAGTTCTGCATAAGTAACTAAATTAATCTTTCTTTGCAATCGAATGATAAGATAATATCAATTTTAATTACCGAAATAATAACATTTTTTTCTTCTCAATCAATTAGATTTATTTATTATGGGAAATTAATTTAAACAATTATAAATTATAATAATTGGTTTATACAACTTGTATCCCGTTTCGAAACTGACAGTGCTACTACTAAGTTTAATACTTCCATTCTATTTTTTAAAATTCGTTTTGAATATCTCACTCAACTTTTCCATTTATATACTTTTCTCCCTGTTTATTTTCATTCCGTATCCATCTCATTACCTTGACCGTAAATCTCATCCCCTGCACACCTCTGTAGCAGATGCCACCAACACTATATTTGGTAAATCCGAGAGAGTTGGCCATCATTTTTTTAAAGGACTTTAAAAAAGTAACAATTTGCAACGGTAGAAAACGTAAAGCTATTAAAATTGTTTAGCGCTACACAAAACAATATACAATAAAAGTTATCTCTACATTCTTTTTTGCCAAGTTTTTCATTTTCAGGCAGAAAATAAAGCAGACTAATCTAAAATAAATTACATCTATTGTCAAATTCTGTCAATCTCTCTCGAATTTACCCTAATTCATATTTGCACATCCTACATAATTTCTCTTCTTTCCCGTCCATTATATTCACTGCGGAGTATAATTGACGGAAGAAGAGATTTTTATCTCTTTTCAATGTTTTTTAATTTTCTTTTTTAGTTTCTGTCTATTCTCAGTTTTCTTGAAAATTGTCAGAGAAATAAATTATTTCAAATAACTCTTTAGGTATCGGATAATTTCATATTAGTTTCTTAAAAAGGATAAATCTTGTGAATTTCATTTTAGTGTAAACGGAGTCAGACCAATTAGACAAGGACAGACTTATGCAAAAAACACGGGCTTAATTTAAGGTTTTTGTTTTTACTGTGTGCACTTGAAAATTAAGGAATATATTTTAAAGTGACATTTAATATTAAAATTCTTTCCCAAAAATACCATTACCATTTTTGTAATTCAAATTTGAAAGATTTTAACTTCAAGTCATATTTTAACAATTCAATAACCCCGGATAAAGTTTAAGTCAAAAGTATTGCTATAACCAAGTAAAAGAATTTGAATACTTGGGGGAACTTTCCCAATTCTGATCTAGTTTTTTAAAACTTTAATGAGATACTATAACAAAAATACAAGCAAATTCTTTACTTCATTCAAAATAAAAACTTGGAACAGTTTTCTAATCTGCAATTCCATCAATCTCTTGTGTATTTTTCTCTTATCGTTAGAGCAGTAACGGTGAATGAAAATTGCTCCAAGCTTAAAACGCCCATAACTACAATCACGTCTAATCTATATTCTTGATGACTTTACTAGAAATTGTAGTACACTTCTACTTTTTTTAGTTTGTCAAATATTTTGAAAATTTAATTTTCGTTAGAACATGATCAAGTATTCATTTAATGAATGTTGGATTATTTTTTTTAATACTGACATATATCATGTACGTAATGTTTATGTTTTGAGCTTATAATAGTGAAAACTGTCAGTTGCACCGAACTGCAAGCAACTTTTCTCCTACGTGTTGTGAGAGAACAAATGCTGCAGGCTTATTTGTGTGTGAAGCAGGTGGGAGATGTGAAACCTCGACGTCTCTCGATTTGTATGCTGAAGGTATCGACGATTTTGCATAGAGTTCTCCTTTGTATGAAAGAGTGTCAGAGGCGGAGCAATAGTGGCTGTCTCTTCTGTTACGCTTTTACTCATCAAAAAGTTCGTGCCAGGGTGGATTTCGTGTTCACTTTTTTTCTTTCTCTCGCAGACGAGAAGCCCACTTTCTGTGAATTATGTGGACGACGCTTTTCTCACTCAATAAGCAGAGTAGTATCCCGAGGCGAAATTTAAGCCCTAATTTACAAGGAGTAAAGTAGAGTTAAACAGACCCTCTTTAGCTTCCTCAACTAGTCGCAAATTTCCCTTTCTTCCACGTTTGGATTTAAAGTAGGGTCTAAAAATTGATTAAAATATTGAAAATTTTGAAATTGCTCTAATTCTATTAATTTTTTGAAAACGCTTCAAAATATGTTAATTCCAGTTTTTAAAGGGTAATTAAAGAAATATTGTGTGAAGAAAAAATTCATTTTGCTTTAATCAAAATAATTAAAAGAGTTTTTTTTTGCATTTTTTTGTACTTTTTTAATCGAACTAGACCCTCTTTAACTTCCTCAACCAGTCGCAAATTTACCTTTCTTCCACGTTTGGATTCAAAGAAGGGCCTACGGGAGTCTACAAGATCGTAAAGAGGGCCTATTTAGGTTCTAAGGGAAGCTAAAGAGGATTCAAATTTCGCCTCGGGATGTCACTTGATTGATCATAAACTGAATTTGCAGAATACAAATAATCATTTGTATTCCATTTCATTTAATTAAAAAATTAAACTTACGTCTTATATCTGTACCTATTGCGTAAAAATTCATCTTATACGTAGGTATAAATGATGATTAAATAAAACTGCGGGTATAATATTGAAAATTATGCAGGGTATTGAATAGAATGTAGATTTTTGGAATAAAAGTGGTATTTTAATTTCTTTTCAAGATCCATTTCATTCGCTGAATTCTTTCAATCCGTATAACAAAATCAGCTAGCATCTCTCAACGCTACAGACGTCTACTTACTTAAGGACTTTGCAGCTTCTTTTGTTTGTAGATCACCGTCTTTTTTTCTGCCTGTCTGTCGAGAATAGTCGCACGCAATTCCCCAAGCGATAAACAAGTTTAAAAAGTGAATCTCGACAACAATAAATAATTCTATTTTACCAAATTATACAGTAGAACCTCCACAATTAAAGGAAAATGCTAACCATTTTGAGTAATTGAGGGTTTTGAACTTGAAGGAGACGGAAGAGATATTTTCTTCAATTTATTAGGGTTTTAATGTATTTTACAGTATAACAGAAAATTATTACCTACTACATTTTTATTACGTCATCTTACACAGTCTAGAATTAGAATTAGAATTAGAATTAAATTTTTTTGGAAAACAATTTGAGCTGATTTTTCTTAAATAAATAATTATTTTATTAATTTTTTTATTGCATCAGCAGAAATGTTGGAACAAACACATGTGGCAATGGATAAGTGCGGTAGAAAAGAATGTTGGAAAACGATTCTAGATGTAATTGTGTGGAGTGCACTCTTTGAGGATGCCCAGGGGCAATTCCTCAACAACATTGGGAAAGCCACCCATTATCGACCCACTCACGACCACCCAAACTTGTACCCAGCAACCTTCTCACTTTTGGCGACACTGACACAACACTATTTCTTTTCATTTCTACTATTCTATTCATGATTGCACCTCTCTTAAATGTCAATTTGCCAAAATCTCGCTTCTAAAGTGATTAATTCTGTACTATACTAAACTTTATTAAATAAATAAAACTTAAAAAATTAAATTCATTGAACTTGAAATATCAGCTGAGTCCAGAGCATTAAAATTTTAACAGATCATGTATTAACGCTGGCTGGCAGCCAAAATCCTTGCTCGAACCATTCATCTAATTTTTAAGTCATTTCTAAACCATCGTTTAACTATTCAGCAATGCCAAACCAATTCTTGAGCTGTATAGAAAATTTTCACCCATCTAACCTTAAGTTATAATATAATCGAGAACTCGGGTTCCGGAACTCGAATTTTTCGAGTGCTCGCTTTTTCCGGTTTAGCACTTTAAATGACGTTTCCCCACCCCTGAGATAAGTTTAAGCTATTATAACCAAAAAAGCGAACACTCGAAAAATCGAGAACTCGGGTTCCGGAACTCGAATTTTTCGAGTGCTCGCTTTTTCCGGTTTAGCACTTTAAATGACGTTCCCCCACCCCTGAGCTAAGTTTAAGCTATTATAATTTCTTTAAATTGATGTAATTTTTTTAAAATAATAATACAATTGAAAGAAAAACTTTTTTCAGATTTAATAAAATTTTCGAACACACTATTGATTTCGAATGTCTTGAAAATGTTTTGTTCTTCGCGCATAAAAGCTAAACAAAGGCTGTCGTGAAAGCAGTTTAAAGTCTCCTTTTGTCTTTTTATTTTTAAATGTAAGATGTTTTAAAGCTGGAGAACAGTTAGCGTAAAACACACTAGAGTGTTTCAGTGCTCGGGGCATTTAGAATCAGTTAAATCTTTTAAAGTGCTTTCAAATCTCTGGCAAAGATTTTCTCAATTTTCGTAATTCACTCTCTTTCTCAATTAATGCCCTACTTTTAATAGGAAATTCTCTTCTGTATTTTAACCATAAACGTAAAATCTTTGTAATACATCATCACGCGCTTAGAGAAGAGGAAGTTAAAAATTTAAGAGTTGTAGAAGAGAAGGGGAAATGTTCGAACATGAGTGACGTAATTTGTGAAAGATCTCTTCTCAAAATGTAGTCTTTTGAAATTGAAAAATTAAAAGTACTAATCGTTTTACAAAAGAATGTTTAAAATAAATCAACATATGGTGTGCAGGAGAAATGTAGAACTTGATTGATTTTTCTTATGTAAAGTCTAATTTGTATTGGATTTGACCAATGAAATTCAACTACTAGTATAGACGCTGAGTGCTTTCGGCAATTACTGTGAGTATACTTAAAGTAAATCATAGACCAATCCAACAGCATGTTCATGCTGATTAGGCCGTAATTTACTCACAGTAACTGCAGAAAACAGCCCACTGTAAATGTATCTTTGCATAGAAAATAAAATAAATAGTGTGATTAATGCATAAGGGTAATAATTATTTTTCTTAATTATTCAGAATCACTACTTTTTCCAATTTTGGGATTTTTTCAATAATTCTTTTTGGAACGTCTACTTGAAGCGAAAAATTCAGTGGGGGTAGACTAATCTGAAGGAAGAAAGTATATCTCAACAAAAGGTGAGATGAACGAAAGCTTTAGCGTAGTCAACCAACACGCCTGGTGGTCCATTTCTGAAAATTGAACACTCTGAGAAGAAAAAGAAAGAAGAAACAACATGTGGGTCACTGTGACCACCAGAGAAGAAATAAGAAAACCCTTGAGAAAAACGAAGACTGGCATAGCTTAAAAAATAGGTGTCTTTTGCCAACACAAAGCTAAGATTAAGGTCGGAAGTTGTGCTTATAAGAAGGGTAAAACGTATCAATATCAATTCAATATGACATATCAAAAAAAGTGGGAAACCTAAATCAGAGATTGAGCTCTTTTGGAGAAGATGAAGAACTTGACAGCCTTTACCTCAAGGCCACAATTGAAAACAGAATCTTTGAAAGCTGAACTACTAAAAAGGAGCTACTTGCTTCCCTGAAGAGGGACGTCAAAAACATTTCCAACGACATGAAAGACTTTCTTATTGAAAAAAAGAGTAGAGAGCTGTTAATAGGTAGTAAGACTGCAAAGAATAGGCCATAGAAAATGAGATCCTAAAAATGACATGGGACTCATGAGATTTCATGAATAATACAAGGTTTTATTTAACACGTAGATTTCACGTCATCTTTGCTGGTTTTCATCAAATCAAGTATACAATAACAAATAACTCCAATCTAGACTAAGTTACAATTTTGTCAAAAGACAAAGTGCAAAACAAATTACATAATCGACCCCCCTGAAAGCATATAGACGTTAACTTAACGATTTTAAGTCTAGTGGATAGAGAAATAGGTCACTGGGACAAGAAGTGGAAACTATATAATTTCAGGAATATTGTGTTTTATTATTAAATACTTATATTTAATTTGCAAAGAAATATATATATATATATATTTATAATTTTCATAAGTATATTTTTTTATTTGTTTATGTAAATTATATATCACATCTGTACACATATTTTCAAAGAATTCTGCGTGACCAAGTAGTTAGAAGTATTTCTTCAAATGGAAAATATTAACGACTTTCTTCCGTCTTCTTTATCCAGGAATGCATCCATTTCAATATTCCCTACATTAAAAGGAAGAGGATTCTAAAAATGTCACAAAGAGATATTTTTTACTTTAAATAAATAATTGTTGTTTATACAATAAGGAATTAGAAATGTCTTTCTCACCGTGTATAATACGTTCTCATTTTTGCATTCAAAATGTACGTTTCCAGGTACTAAGAACTTTAAGAAAAATAATTTCACTCTACGAGTGTTCCAAGTACCATTTCTCTCGTTCATTTCATCTCTTGAATTCTACACAATAAACTTGTTTACAACGAATTATTTATTATAAAATATAACAACGAATTGATAAGAGTCTGTGATATTGGAAAAATCGATGAATAAAATAATAGTTTAATTTAGCGCAAATGAAATTATTTTCGATTGTCTTACGTCACTTTAATTTGTTGTAAAGTTCAGGTTTATTGTGGTCGCATTGTTACTGAAAAAAATATTTTACTTGAATATGAGAAATTTGATTCCTTTGTGCATATTGTCACAGTTCCAATATAGAAAATCTAGTGAACACGATGGCAAACACTTTGAACGAGTATTCCTTTATTTCCTGGATTTCTATTTCTTTGTCTGTGTGGTCTTGCTAGACACTTGCACGAGCACTGTGACCGGGGGTGGCTAGAGCGGTTGTCGGGGGTGTCGTCGTGGTTGTCGGTCTTGGTATTGGAGAACGCTTCATGGGTACACCCCTTCCTCTTACGACCCCTTTGCCCCAAGGCCATTGTAGAGTGCGAATCAGGGTATTTCGAAAATCCTCCGAAAAGAGACAGTAGATGTAGAAGGTTATCGAGTAATTTATCACCTCCAACAGATTTGCCAGAGACCTGAATACCTGAAAAATAACACACGTTATAATATCTAATTAGATTTTTTAAAGAAACGATTTTATTCGAAAAATTTTAAGGCAAAAGAGAAGAGTGAGAATGTTGAAATAAAATGTGTAAATTATGGGGTTGTTACAGTAAAGGCGTAATAAGAGTGGAGAACAAAGGATCTAATTATACGTAGATTAGAGGCAGCAAACCTTACCTGATAAGGATACAAGCTCAGATTGCCTTCACTGAGAGTCACGTTCAAAATGACCATTGGACTAACACAGACCAGGAAGAGGATACTTGTACTGCTTAACAGAAGAACCAGCCTTCTCTCTTCAGCAAATGTTCTAGAATCCTCTTCATTGCTTATTGTTCTCGAGAGAGTCATCCTTCGACGACGTTCACAAGATTTCCTATAGACAATCATTATTCGTAGGTTGAATCCCGCTAATAAAATTGTTGGAGCCACCTTGAATACCACCTCCAGTACGATCTTGTACACCTGTGAACAAACAAATTATACAAATTAGATCCTAAAGGTGAAATTTAATTTATATTCAACCTATATTACTTCTGTGGATCTTGAATTAAAGTATGAATTTTTATGAGATCTTCTCTTTTGCAAAGCGACCAACTACAGTTTGTAATTTCATCACTTGCTGGTATAGATATATAATATAACATTACACGATTGGTATATAAAGTGGTTGATCCTTAGAATTTCTAAATCCAAAATCTGTACTTGCACACTGTTTGCTCTTAAAAGAGAATTCTAAAAATTCTTTCACTTATACTTACTTGATAAAAGACTGAATTTAAAAATTGAGTGCTATCTCTCTTCTGGTAGATAAAAGGCCCTCCTGCATCTAGAAGACAGGTTGTAATTTCACCCCTAAACACACTGGGTATGTAGACAAGGAATGTAGCTATTGGTATTAGAGCCACCGTCAAATTAGGTGGTCCACACAAAGGTCTAGTGTATTGGCCAGGATGACATACACTGACATATCTCTCCACAGTCAAGGCCAACAGCATCATTACTCCGACGCCTGTTGACATGAAGATTAAATTTGCAATTTGTCTCAATTCACAAAGTCTTATCTAATCAATACACATCGAATATCATGAATATTAATGTTATTTAGGAAAGAATTGTCAAACATTTCAATTGCGTTACAAAGGGAACTAGAGAAATGAAATAAATCCAGAAGAGATTTCTTCAAAAGTTAACGCCTTTATTCGTCTAAAAGGAAGCTGTTAAATGACGTATAGCTATTGCACTTGAACGCGCATGAGAATATTTTTAAGCTTTTATGGTATCACTATTGTGGCATAGATTGAAGACTGATCGTAAAATTCGAGAAAATGTATTATGAAAAAGAAATAAAATTGTATCCGCAAAAATATTGCACTTTGGTTGAAAGTATTCATACATAGTTCATAAATTAAGTATGTCCTTTATTATATATATACTTTCTTCAAAATAATCCAACATATGAAATATTTTTCTGAACGTTTTTTATTGATGAGAATTTTACAACAAATATAAGAAATTGCTCGCTAAACGTACAATATAAACCTAGAGAGATAAAAGCCTTTATTATTTTATTATAAATTAATAAACTGGGTAAATTAGAAATTTAATTAACTGAAGGAAATGAAATTCCATACCCAGACAAGCGTTCCCTAAAAATAGTTCCAAGTGCGCGTGGTAAAAAGCTTGCAGCCAATTACTCCATCGACCTGTCTCCTTGTGAATCAAAACCCTCAGAGCGAAAGGAATGCAAAAACAAATGGCCAGCAAGGCTGCAGCTGAGTAACCTGAGAACAACAAGATATAGATTTATTTTATTAAAATTTTCATCCTTTCAACAAAAATAATTTATTATGTGGTGCATCAACAAATTTTTAATTTAGTGCTCTTATTATTCTGAAATATGATAGTTTACAAAATTTCATTCTTCTTTTTCTCACTAATCTGTAAGGAAGTGGAAGAGATGATTTTTCATTTATACATTCTCATCATAATTTTATTGAAATTTAGGTGAGTTTCAAGTTTTTTGATACTATTCCAATTCAAGTCCATTTATTGTATATGTTTTGTAAATTTTAAATTCTAGTTCAGAACTGACATCCATTGAACAAATTTTGAAACCTCCCTGTAATTTGAGGAAGAAATGTTTTACCAACAGTGAAACTAAGAATTCGGGTCTTTTACAAGTTAACAGAAGCTTTCTTTGGTCGGTAAAGTCTTAAAGCTATCGGTACGGTAGAAAATATTTTCGCCACTGAGCTTACAGTTGATAAAAGATCTAATGATAATTTGCTCTATTTCATATAATTTTAATTATAATAAATGATAATGGTTTTTTTGTGGCTTTGGGGGTCAGTGTTGGAAATAAGTATTAAGAAATGAAGGATTAGTTAATTTTTATTTGATGTCTCAAAGTAATTTTAAAACTTTTATTTTTCATTTAATATCAAAAATTATCATTATTATTTTATAATCTCTAGAGGAGAAATGACGCATGTATTCTATTGGGAGATTTACTCCATCTAATTAGTTGACTAATTAGTGATTTTCGAAAGTTATATATGATCGGATTCATCTCAAATCATGCAAGCAGTTAATGGAATATTAAAAATTAACTTTACAATAAAATATGTTTTTCGGCTTGAAAAATAAAGAAAGACTTATTTTTTTACAACCTATTTTTCTGGTTTTTTACGTATTTGTTAAAATTTGTCGAAAAAAAGTTTTTTTGCAAACCAATTTTCTATTCAGCATAATCTGCACTTTGTCTTAAGTCAGTCACTATTAAACTGTTTTACAATCCGAAATTGTGGCAATATTCCTACAGCTCTTCCAAGAGAAACATCAGTAACCTAATCAGATGACTAATTAAGAGCACAGGATGATCTAGCCAAAGCAGAAGATAGAGAAGAATTTTATCGGACCTGAGCCAACAGTTGGTGTTCCTGATAAATTCAAACAATGGCTACAGCTATATGAAACACCAGAAGTAGTGCTGGGAGACTCTACACGTCTTGTAGACTTGTACTTGTACTCCCTCAAGGGAACTAACATAAACCTAAAGAGTGCAGCAGAATTTCCCAGACATAACAGAGAAAAGACGAAAATCTTAACTGCTTACAATGATCAGGCTACAATAAAATTAACTCACTAAAAATCCATTGCGAGCGCATTGAGGTAATAAGTTTTTATCAAGTTTCCAGTACGAAGATCAGGATGTTGTTTTAAATTGCTATATTGTCGTTTGTTTCCGATTCAATTTCAGTTATAATTCGTTTTCGGTGTAGTTCTAGTTCGATGTTGCATAGGATATTTTTATTATTTATCACAAAATGGCTGAGGAGTCAGAATACTTTCTCAAGAGATAAATAGACAGAAAGCTGAGAAAAATCGAGAGTGACTGATATCAAAGAAGAAATTAAGATGAGGATCACTTGTCATCAATTTTGTAAATTTTTTTATGCATCTTAAAAAAGTTTTTATTATTTTTTTTCTTATATTTAAAATGAAAAACCTATAAAGTAAAAACTCTATACTAAAACTCATCAGTGCTTTTATCTTTTATTTAATTTACGACTCAGTGTAATACATCATTTAAGTGTTAAAATTAAAAGCATTACAGCTTCTTTTAAAACTTTTTAACGGGCTTTCTTTTTATAAATTAGACCTCGATGTAAAAGTTGAATAGCTTAAGGGTCTTTGATGAATTGGTAATTGCATATATTATAAAAAATGAGATAAAAAAAACAATATTCTAATATGTTACAAAATGTAAGTTATACCATACTTGTTCGATTTCGATGAAACTTGAAAAAATTGATATAGTCCGAAAGCGATTTTGTAAAATTATTTGACCATATATAAAAAATGAATTTATTAATTATATCAAAATGTAAGAATACTTTAATAATTATTCGCACAAATGGTCTGACGTTAATATTCTTTTCTACTTCCAAATACAAGTTTCCCACAATTAATTAAATATTAAAGTAAATTGTGTCTTTAATGAACAAAAAAGATTATATGTATCAAGAAAAAGAAATATAAGATATAGAGGTCTCTTAAAGAGTTTGAAAACTTAATATTGAATGTTGTTTTAAGTATATTAATTTCTCACGAATTCGGCATTTATTTTCTGAAATTACATATAGCTTTAATTAAAGGAAAAAAGGATTAAAGTATTACATTTTACTTTTTTTATTTGGTCCACAATTCTTAGAAAGAAATTTTTCTTTAACAGTATTGGATAAATTATAATAAAAAGATAATTGTTTTAATATTGTACAGAAAATTAAAACAACAACTTTAATATTTTTTCTTTTATTTAATTTTTGTCAATTATTATCAATTCTTTTAACATTGTATATTTCGAACTGATAACTATATTACTGTTCTTTCTATTACACATTTTAGGAGCCAACAAAGTACGGTGAAGGTGATAAAATTTAAGGATGATATCATCTGGCTGTCTTTGCTGTATCCTCACTGGATATTACTATAGAATAGTTTACTACCAAGTCTGCAATATTGCGGTTCCGAGTCATAGTCGACTCCCTCATATACCCTTCAACTCCCCGAAGCCCCACTACTCAACTAGTGTCAGGCTCTGGCATCAACCCTTTCGAGTCGTTATGAGCTTTTGCGCCGAGTCGCCTCTATTATTACACGCTTAACATACAAGTTTAAAAAAAAAAATAAAAACCTCATTACCTATATATATACATATATCGATCAACATTTCATTCAATCACTGAAAGTTTGACCTGAATGAACTTTCCTTCGATTAAATTACCAAACACTGAGAGTGACAATGAAATTGTCAACTTTTCTACAATTAAAAAATTAACTATTAAAAATAGCATACAGTCCGAAGGATAGTTTTTTCAGAGCCTGTTCAAGTGAAAATTTTAATTAAATACGATTTTCAGAAAACATTAAACTTTTGCTTTATAACAGTATGAAAGAGAAAATTAAAAAAAAAATTTTTTGTACATGTCGTAGAATTCGAAGACCAATATATCTTACTCTCTAAATCTGAATTAGCGACTATTCGCTTATTCCTAGCGCAGAGTATGCAGCTGGGAATAAGTGAATAATCACTCATTGAAAATTCGCTGATTACTAGCGAATAGTCGCTATTTTAATCAGTCCATAGTATGCAGCTACGAATAAGCGAATAGTCGCTAATTCAAATTTAGAGAGTATACAATCCTTACTTTCTAAATTACAAAAAATACTTCTTCATCCTTAACCTAACTTAAACTTTAATCTATCTAAAATTATCTAAATCCGCCAAGTGCACGTTATTTCCAGTTCCTTTTGCCCATTCTTGGCATCGTCTGAATCTATAAAAATCGCATCTTAAAACCTCTAGGAAAAGCATTAATAAATTTTATGAAAATTTAAGGAGTATTAATTTAGTTTTTCATAAGATTGTCTAAAAACTATAATTAATATTTAATTAAAATGAATTAAGTGTATATTGTATGAAATAATATTTAAATGGGGCGGAGCATCTCTAATATATATATATATAAACCCGTGAAAAAAGAGAAGAAACCTTTACATTATACAACCGTCTTGAAAAGAGTTTTTGTCGATTTGTAATTCTCGTCACGCTCCTCTTACGATTTAACCTCATCCTCTCCCTTACACATATACACACACTATCATCGAAAATTCCCCAAGAGGGGAATCGCATTCTCGTAATAACGCGTCAGACTTTTCATTGAACAAAGTCTGTGTGGAAAACGAGCATTAAACAAGAGATTCACGCTATAAGATCGAGGGAAAACTTCCCTGAGCAATTAAATATTTTCAAATCATTTCTATTTAAAGGAATTCGTTATTTCATTTTCTCTTAATAAAAAAGTATTCAATTTTACTTTAGAGTTAGGGTCCGTCACGAAATCAAAACAAAATATTCAAAAACAGTTTTATTTTTTCTTTCAGGTCAGCACTTTTTACAGTTGACTTAATTTTTTTCAATCACGAGAAATTTTATTAAAATTTTTCAATTCTTTTTTTGAATAATTAGTGAATTATTAAAATATTGATTGTTTGTAATAATTTTTACAGAATAAATGAAATTGTCCGACAAACGCGCAAGATATTTTACGCTATAGCTCAGTATACATTTGATGATTTTTTAATTTTATAAGTGGCAAGAGGAATGATAGCAATATATCGAGTCACTAGTCCACCAGAGTTTAATAATAATAAACTTAAGTGAAATCATTTATTTTAAGAGCATATTAGTTCCTTCGAAATATAAAAAGTGGACCGCCACTATCAACACTAAAAAAATTATTAATGACCCTGCCCAAGATTCAGAGAACCCTCGGTAAATTTTATAACAATAGTGTGACGATCCAAGATATTTAAAAAACGGCTATAATGTATTAAACATTTTATAATTTAAAATTTACAACGAGAATAATTTTATTTCAGAAATGTGACATAATAGTGTTCTTGCATATAGTTTCATAACAAAAAGGGAACGTGTTCACTGGGATTAAGTGGTATAACATATAACTTCGACCGAACAATTTTGGTCTCGTAAGTTTATAATTAATTTGTAACTCACGTGGTCGAAATAATACTTGAGAGTTCGTTAGCAATGTTTGCAAAACTTGGCCAAGTTTTGCGCTTATTATTTTGTAGGTTCGTATTCACCTCAGTTCAACGCGGGAATATGGAATATGAAAAGTACATAAAGAAGGATAAGTAGAAATTGTACATAAGCGTTTTTATTACAAGAAATAAACGAAATAGGGTTGTATATGTTTACGTAGACAAAGTCTCATATGGAGGGTAAAAAAGAGTGCGCTGGATGAAAGGTTCTAAATTTAAAGAAAAAAAAATTTCCTCACATTATGAAACAGAATTAAGCTTTAATAATTAGGAACAAGAAAGTATATGTTTTAATATCATTAAAAAAGAAAGAAGGGAGATCTTGTTCAATATACGGTTTGCGAAACAAAAAATATACTATATCAAAATCTGAACTTTATATGAGTGTAATAGTCATTTAAAAATCAACGAATTTCGTTGATTAAAGGTTGGTACCTTTAATAAGAGTGAGAACGAAGGCACTATTTGGTTAACAAATCGACGAGACATGGATAAAAAGGAAAAGAAAGAGAATAGCAGAAAGCAGGATCTACGAGGTAATCACTCAGCCAGCCCTTAAGTTCGGACGCGAACATTCGTTGTGATCGACATTTTCGATTTAAAGAGTCTAGAAATTAAGCTTGTTTGCGCTTTTTTCACAAAAACCAAAATAAAAAGAATTTGCGAGAAAATTTTTTTACGAAATTTATAACATTATCGACCTTTAGATTAAAATGTGATTATTGAGGTTAATAAAATTCTTTCTGAATCATATTAAACGAACAGTTTAACTTTGATTAGCCATATTCGAAGTGACAATAAACTTGATATAATTGTTTTATCAAGTCGACAACTTTTTTGTTACTTTCAAAAAATTTCTTTAATTTATTTAAAAGAAAGTGTTGGACTAATCAAAAAACATTTTTTTTGCTGAGCATAGATGCATTAATTATCCATTTAATTAATTTACCCGTGCGCAAGTCTTTAAATTGAATTTAAAAGTTAAATATGCTATCAAATAATAAAATGGTATACATAAGAAAGGAAGCAAAGAAAGTTTAAAAGAAAAGTTAAAATTTGTACTGTGAAGGTAAGAGGTCATTTATAGAAAAGTAGAAAAGTAGAAAAGTTTAATAAGGAAATTAAACTATTTTTTTGAAAGAATGAGCGATAGAAGAATAGATCGAAATTTTTTGGATTATCATCTGTTGAACTAAAATTTTGGTTTGTTGTATAACAGAATCTATAGATTTTAAAGGTATTGCATAGGTACATTTAGAGAAAGCACAATGTATGGTTAATGTATATCGATTTTCTGAAAAGGGCCAACTATGTCGATTTGAATTTTTTCAAAGAATTATTCTCATCAACTGTTTTTTAGAAACTTGTAATTTTTTTTCTTTCACAATTTTTGCAAGATTTAATAATAATTTTTTAACACAATGTTCATAAGCATGAACCACCTGAAAATGAATCAGAACTAGAAACTATTTGAAGGAATCAATTTATATCATAATTATTTCTTTATAAATAACTTTTAATTTTCATTTTATTTTTGTATTTTTTTTAATTAATTTTTTCAAGTCTTTTTCATTTTTTTAAATGGATTTTCACAATTTTTTATGCACAAATCCCTATACAAGTAGTTTATGATGTTGACATTCGCATATAAATTTCTAGACCCTCGACATTTCCTTCTGTGGTTTAATATTCAAATTAGACTTTCTAAATTTACATTGATGTAGAAATTTTAATATTTCAATTTACACTTTCTTTACAAAGTTATGAAATATAGTTTATTAATAAAGAATTTTTTTTTAATTTTCATTTTCAATTGCAACAATTGGAAAAAGTAATAAACGATAAAATAAATAAAATAATAACAATCTGTTACTTATAGAAAAAATGTGGATATTTTTAAAGAAAATTAGGATTTAGGTAATTTAGCCAGGAGCCTTTCATTTCCCCTCTCTTAATCCATTGCTTATTGTTCCAAGTAGTAATTGCTTCACTGGTAATTCTATTAATATAATGTTTAGGGCTACTAAAGCCATCCGAGTTTTCAAACAAACAGGCCATGTTGTCGACTTATTCATTTATTTCAACTGCTGGTAATATACGTTGTCGTAATCTGACTAAACAAAGCGTTTCTTTGTCATTAAGCGACAAGTCTCTGACAAGAGTTTTAAGCTTAGAAGCTCTATTGATTAAAATAATAATGGCACACATACTAACAAAGTTATCATAACCAAACAAAGTACGAAAGCCTATCAAAATAATATAAAGTAGATAAAGATAGACAAGATAATAAAAGTGCAAAAAGAAATATTTTTTAAATTGAATAAATTAAAAATTAAACTTAATTTTTTTGAATAAAATTTATGAGAAATATAACATAGCGTAAATATTTCTCTTACAATCGACGAAAATGTGAAATCGAATTATTGAGTAATTTCCTCCTAATGCATAAGGCCGACTGAGAACCGGAAGCGAGGGGACACATTCAAAGTTGGACAAAACCTACAACTTTGTACGAACATGCGGAAATAGAGTTCCCAATCCAACAAAAAGTCCTCAGTCTCATAAACATGAGGAAAAATCCCAGTTAGCACAATTAATTATATTATAAGGAATACGATAGTCATATGAATAAATAATGAAATTTATTGTTGTTTGACAATAACAGTTTGGATTCGAGTCAAATGACTTATAATTCAGAAGGTTGAGTTGAGTAAATCTGGATGTCAGGAAGAGCACGCTTACTTAGTCGGGTGGTGGGTTTAAGTTTAAAAAAGGTAAACAGAGACTGTTAAGACGGGTAGCTTAAAACAAATAACCTTTCGCTTTGGGCTTGGATAACAAAGTTATCGCTTCACAGCTAACTCATTTACTCTTCGTTATCATTTGCTATGTTGGAGTAGTGGCTAGAGTAGTGGCTTAGATAGAGCAAACAGAATGAGATGAGAATTTTGACGAGATCCTCAGATGAGAGTCTCTCTTCGGAAACACTTCCTTTTGAATTTCATTTTTGTTGGCGATAGAAGAAATTTCCAAGTAAATTGAATTATTAATTATATCTATGACATTTTATAGAAAAAGTATTCGAAAAATGGATTGTTTCAATACATTTTAATGCAACTGTTCTTATCGGATCGTCAACGAATCACTGGATGCTGTAGTGTCCCGCTACATCCAATTAGATGGAATTTCAAATATCCCTTACCCCAGGGATCTTCTCTCTCTTTGCTGAAAGCTCTTATGAAGAAATTGAACCTCCTTGGACTTCCACCAACACAAGTTGCTGTGACCCTTTTTTCATTTATGCAAATATATACACACTTGGATATGAAATAAGCAATTTTTATTTAATAACTTATCGCAATATCTATGAAAAACATTATATTGTATATTATCATTTAAATATGATACCAATGTATCATATTGTAATTTAGTGCAGATATTCACTTTGCCGACATATAATTGAATGTACAATCGTTCAATTTATATACGGTAATAATATCTGTCATAAAAGTGTAAATCTAACACCTTGAAGAAGAAAATTACTTTGAGTCATAAAAAATTGAATTTCATGAAAAAAACATGGGTCTCTTTGAGTGCATAGAAGAAATGGTAAATAAATAAATCGATACTATCCAATGCCTTCTAATTAACTGGAAGTGTGCTACTCTTGGTAAAACTTTAAGTGTGGTTCTAATACAATCCTTAAAAAAAAGAACCGAAAGTTTTAACGGTATAATGTGACATACATTTAACGATGCAATAGATAAAAGTATCAGACATCGTGAAAATATGTCACCAAGAAAATCGTAAAGGCAATCAAGTTTCCTGATATAGAGTATATTACGTAAACATGGAATTCTCAATCCTTTTCCCGACCCGACGATATCTGTTATCTATATATCTAACATCCTCGTTAATTTTCTTCCTCTCTTTTTTTCAACTCAACCCCTTTTTTAATTTCACTCGAGGGAACGCGATACTTGTAACCATCATCATCTTAATGTGTATTGCTCTCTATTGTATCATAAGAAAAATATCAACAATGAATCTTCTCAAAATAAGGGGAGAACTAAATTCTGATCTGGCACATGTAACATAACAGATGCCCTAAGAGGCTAATAGAAGTGAACTAAGGAGACGTAAAATAAAAACAAAGAATCATTTCTTTTTTTATAAATATTAGATAATAAATAAAAATGGAAAGTAAAAATTGGAATTTTACTCACTTTAAGTATGCCACTAAATGTAAATTTTGATTCAGTTCAGAAAAAAATTAAAATGTTACTGGGACATTGAGAAATTGTGACTATCAATCTCGTTTTTATATTTATATTTTATTAATAATATTTTTCATCTAAACAAAACATTTACATGCATCAGAATTAAAACAGATGGAAATGAATGAAATTTGTTTCTTGGAAATTATATTTATTCGCCTAAGATTTGTTATAAAAAAATAGGAAAAAGTCGAGTATAATAATATACTCACCTCTCATGTAAATGTAGGCAGTTCCTCTCATGTTACGTCTGGTGAGTACAATGAGATTCAAAATATTTCCAATAATTCCCAAACAGCATATGGTTGGAAGAATAATTCCATAACTAATTCTTCTCAAGACTGCCGTTCGTGGATCCTCAAGTAGTTCAAAATCGTCCGGAATTTGACAAATACGAATTTCGGGTTCACTTATATTTGAGATGTTGATCATTTTGATTAGTTTACACTCCTATCGCCACACCATGATCGGTCCATCATAATATTATTCCTCAACCTCCTGACATTTTACAAGACTTTTCGCTCAGTACACACATCGATCCATTTTTCGCCCGTTTCCTATATCGAGAGCCAATCAGAAAACTCACAATCTTGTTTCACTTTTTTATACAATTTTTGCTCTTTATTTGTGCGATTTTTTATTAATTATTCAATAATAATTTTCTAACAGAAAAGTAAATTTAAGTAAAATTGAAATCGCTATTTTTTAGTTAAAACCTTTTTTGCATGATAATAATGCGATTGCGTATGACTGAAATATGGAGTATTCTCTTTTGTTGAAAGAAACGTTCGAAAGCAATTATGTTGCACCTCATGTGAGTAAAAAGTTCCATTTTGTGAGTTTCTCACGATTTCGATGTGCAGCAGTGGTATTTGAAATCGACTCACGTTCGACGTACTAGGCATTTGTCGAGGGCAGTCAAGTTATAATAAACATTCAGCTGTAAATTCCATTTCGTCTGATCACGAGCAATGTGCATGCCTTCTCGATGTCATATTCTCCCCGAAGAGGGTCCAAAGATATTGATACCTCATTATAACGCATGTATCCTATTTCCAGTGAAATCTGTTTCATTCTGAAAAAAATGTCATTATTTAAGACGATTTTTTAATTTCATTTTTTTGTGCAAACTATTTTCACAAGATATACTATTTTCATTATATGTATCCCTAAAACTACTGTAGGATTTTTATTCGTCATACATCTTAAAAGAAATTCATTTACCTATACTCTCACAAAATGTAATTTATATTTCCTAAGCATCAGAAGTGTCTAAACTTTCATCAAGATAATGCTCTAGTCACAGAATTTACATTTCTTCTATTGCCCGTCCGAAAAAGCGAACCAATTTAATGTAAAATCATTCCATTGAAACGTAGAATCGTTTAACAAGAATTTACACTGGAAATTCTACAAAAGTTTCCATAAGAATATATAGTATAAATTGGCAACAACGTACAAATCTAACAAGATGCAGAATAATCCAAGAAAATTAACTTTTATATTCTTCGCATCCAAAACCAATTAAAGTCTGATGACACTCATTGGAGTCTTAAAAATTGAAAATGCTCCAAGAATAGAAATGTTGATATGTTTCTAAAAAAACGTGGTCACATACTGGCATCATTTTTTGCCTAGAGATAAAGCCGAGACTAGAATAGAGATGAACAGATTCTTACATAGATCTGACGTTGACATTCAAGGCAACACCGGCTTCTGAAATGTCCGCGACTTTCCAACTTCCGCTGTGATGCCTGTCGGTAGGAAAATGGTTCAATTCACCGCGACTCAGAGGAATAAAAAACTTGATTTCGCCGGAAGGAAGACACAATCGAGCAAAATTTTCCAGGTAATGCAACCCTAATCCTTGATATTTTCATTTTCTAAATGAGGTTTTTTTCAAAAATCAATTTCTTTCTTCAAATCTAAATGCAATAATGCAATAATGCAACGTTTGCAAACAAGTATCCCCAACTTTTTCTGCCTTTTTTGCCTTTTTTGCCTCTACAGCTGTTGTCTGCACAATTTAAAAATTTCTAAATAAGGACTCTCTGGAGATTCCATGGGGATTACGTTAAAATTGTATAGCATAACATCAACGTAAATAAATGGTTGCCTTTAGTTCCTTGTTGCTTAATATACTATTTTTCTTACTTACAACAAACTTTTGTACTAATTAATTGTGATTAAGTGTCAGCTGAGATACAGTAATACAATTTGTCGGTTTCGTTTTCCATTATACCTTCATCGAGGAACTTTATCCTTGAGTAATCGTTGTTTTACTTCATCGAACGATAAAAAGAAGAAAAACTGCCGGAACAAAAAAGATGAAACGAAAAAATATATACTTTTGGAAAAGAACTGGTTCCTGCTGATAAAGTATCACGATTTCGAGTTGCCTTTAACCCTCGGAACAGGATGATGGCTGTTTTACGTGACGAGGGGACAATCCCAGTAGGCTTGTACCAGAATTGCTTCAAATATAGGATTTGCAAAATTATATCACTGAATATATATACAGAGATGAAGCTATTATTTCTCAGCAAGAAGACAGATAAAATTTCGATAAGAAAAATCTAGGAAGATTACTTCACTATACGACGACTATAATAAGAAAGAAATCCTCCTCGAATTGAAATCTCGGAAAATCTGTCTTATACGTGTCATTTTTCTGAGAAAAACACTTTGTTTTTACGTAGAAAAAAAATTCTTAATCATTTCTTCAACTTGACAATTATGTTTAGAGATTCGTGTTGCGTATTAAAAATAATCTGTAAAAATCACTTTGTCCCAGAAATAAAAGTTCCTTGTACTTTGTGATAAACAGTAAAAAGACTAGATTAGATTTATTTTAATTACCTCGGTATATCAACTAAAAATAGTTGATTTGAAAATATGCATATAGTCAAAATCAGGTGATTTTCATTTTATTTGATTTTTTTCGATTTCTATAGACGTGATATATTTTTCTTTGAAAATTATTTAACATCCCCCAAGTTTTAAAATTGTCAGTAATCTTTTTTTCAAAGCTTGCATTATTTACATGAGATGAAGGTAATCGTTCTCGTGACATTATTTCGTGACCCATAAGGTAATAAAGTCAAGCGAGTGCTCGTTAACGCGTTTTTATCGTTAAAACGTGCTCCGTGGGACTTATAATACGACGTCAATTTAATCAGTGTCATGTCGAGCTGTAGCAAGCCGCCAACTGTTATTAACGTACCATGCTCTCGACCCGTACAGTATGCGGGTGTGACATGTCGAGACATGTCGAAAAAATACCGGAAAAGAGAGAGAGAACATCTGCCTTTCAATTCAAATTCAAACCATGAATATTAAGCTTTTGAGCACATTTCCTCTTTTTCCGAACGTACATTCAAAGATTTTCTATCATTATCCGAAATTCAACATCAACTCCAAGAATTTTGCAAAATAATTATTCCAATTTCAATTCTCTTTGCCGTACAAATTATATAAGCGACAATTTGGGCAAAATTGAGAAAATAATGAAAGCAATTTATGAGACTTGTTGCATTTATAGTAAATTTTTGCGTAACTTTCAAATTTCCATATTTGCAACGTACTTTCAAAAATATCTGGCAAACTCCATATAAATGAAAATTTATACACGCGCCTGGAAATTGCAACCATAGTTTGTATTAATTATTTCCAATGGAACATTTATCACACTATTTTCGCTTTTATTTTCGCGTGTTTACCCAGAGAGTTAGTTTTTTGCATTTTTCCTGAATTTTCCAAGTAATAAATACTTTTTACCAGTAAATATGATTATCGAATATGGAGAATTTTTAAATTGATGATACTTTTATTTTCACTAATAATGTGACACTTTAGTTTTTTTCGATTGATAAATTTTAAAACTTTATTTATTACATATTCTATAATATTTTGCTGCAAAGTAGACGCTTATTCAGATTAAAATTAATTTAGAAAGATCGCCTTTGTCTGACTTAAGCTCGAGTTTCACTACTTAATCTTCTTGAGATATGCTATAATTATTTATTTGTCCTTCTTTCTCTCAACAATATATTAATTAATTTAAACTATAAAGAAAAGAATGTTAATTAAAGAATTTCATAAAAATGTATTTTAACAATTTCATTATTATTTTTATAAACATCCACACTGACAAAGTTTATTTAAAGTACATTCACTGCATCAATTGACATGTAATTTCCAGTCATGATTAATTTTATTCTACTCAAAAAAAAAAAAACAAAACAAAACTTTCCAAAGGTAAGTTTATAATTTAAAAACTTTTAAATAAGTTTCAAGTAAATTTAAGTTTTCAAGATTTTTTTCTGAAAAAATACATACCTAACATTGAGGAGAATTTCTCGATTTCTTCACAATAAAAAAAGCAAGTTTGTTTTCTTTTTTAGTTTTAATTAAGAGAGAAAAAAACACTGAGCAATTTTTTATTTTGCGGATAACCAATGAAAATTTCACGTCTATCGATAAACCGATGCGCGTCGCGTCGCGTCTGATACTGAAGAACCTACATAGCTGGATTCTGGGGAAAAAATGACACTTCCCTGTGTGGCGATGGTCTTAGACGCGCGCATGCACCCAGTGAAGCGTATAACGCTAATTAGACGACGTAATGAGGAAAGCCTTTACACGATCGTCGGGACACTAGAGTAGATGTAATTTACGTTTCAATGTAAAATGACTTTCAGAAAGTGATCTGACAGTTACCATGAAAGTGACTAAAATTTAATACCTCTCGTGCGCAAACGAGGTTTGCGGAGTTATAATTCCATTGCAACCGCAATAGGCAAAAGAAGAAGAATAATGAGAATTAAAGCTTCTTGAATGTCACTTTATATTCTCCCAAGAATATAAATCTCCCATTAGAAGAAGAGGAATAATTAATTATATTTTTAAAAAAAATTATACATATGCTAAATTTTTTTGCTAGTTTTTAAAGCGCAAACTTATAAAATTTTAATTCCTAAAATAATCATTACAAAATATGTAGGTAGGAACATATTCATATACAGTAGTGCAACCAAAGCTTAAATCAGACTCGTTACTAGAAGGTAAAAAGAATCGCTCTTAAGTCTAAAAAAATAAAGACTCGTTAAAATCATAAATATATATGTAAAAAGAAGCTTTTCCTAAATAATGATGATAATGTAAAAAAATGTTTAAATTCTTATTGAACATGAATTTTATCAGCGACTTATCACAAGCACTTTACGCGCAGCGTGAAATTAATCTTTACCTGCAGGGGAAATTGAAATTTATGGCTTGTAGCCTGAAGAGACTATAGTATAACCGCGTTATACTTTGCATTTTTCTACTTGCAACGGAAACGATAGATAATTTTACCCATTACCACGCAAACCTTTTCAAGACTTTATGACATTAACATTTTTCTCTCATAAAAATATTACTATTAATAAAAAAAATTATTTATCCCCAATTGGAAATATTGGAGATTTCGATTGAACTTTGGTTAAGAATAAACTTTTTAATTTGTTAAAGATTATGGTAAAAGCACCTTTCAGATTAAAATAGGTTTTGACAAAGGTTATCACTGTTGCAGTAACAGTTAAAGAAAGAACTTAACGCTGATTACGTAGATTCTAAGACGGAGTAGATTTTATTGCTCGTTAAGCCCGATCGTGTTAACCCGAGAGAGAAAAGATTCTAAAACGATGGAATCGTGACCACGACAATCAAATCATAACACGCATTTGTCAAAATTTACAACTTTATTTCTACTTGAATTTTAATTATTTAAAAAAATTAGTTGGCTTCTGGCTGTCTGACAATGAGTGTAAGTAGTAAAGTGCAATTATAAAAACAATAGAATAAGCAAGGATAAAGAAAAGTCCGTTCAAGAATGAGTTTTTGAAATTACGAATTGCAAATGAGGGAAGAAAATTGAACTCCCGAGACAGACCTTTCAAGAGTCGGTCGTGGAAGATGACCTTTTTCAGAACGAGATGATCGTTACGTATATCTCCAAGATTTCAGACCACCAATTAAATTCCGTCCCCTGAACTGGAAGGGAGTAAAAGGAAGATGCAAATTTTAATAGCAGTCCTTTGCTGTGTGGTATATGATCTCGCTATGCTCGACTTGAAATTATGCTCCTGAAGCCTTATCTAAACGCAAAAGGGTATAGTACAGTTCACTGGCCAACGACCTATCGACATTCTTGAGAGTACCTTTGCCATCTCTTTATATATGTATACCTAAATTATATTTACAATTAATATTCAAGATGTAGTTTTAAAAACCTGTTTTACCGTCAGTCGGTAAGGTCGGTATATTTTGCAACGGAGCATTGCAAAGAAAAATATTTATTTATTGTAATATTGATTTAAATTTAAAAATTTTCATTATAACAGTTCGCTATTTGGTGGAAGAAAAAAACAAGACATGAAAAAGTTAGAAACTTTTTATAAATGACTTGTATTTTCAACTATTTCTAGAATCCATAAAAATTCTATGTACTTAAAAAATAATTTTTTCAAAATGAAGACTTTGTGAAAAAATTTAAAAAATTTTTTAAATACTTTAAATAATAATTGTATGTTGATAAACATCTTGATCATAAGTATTCAATTAAAAAAAATACAAATATTTCAAGTGCAAATTTCAACAAGTGTAATATTTATAATAATAATAATAATAATACAATAATAATAGTAATAATAATCCTAATAATAATATAAATAGCACACAGCGCAGAAATATACAAAAAAATATCTAACTTACATTTTAAACAGCAAAAAGTTTATATACAAAATTAATGAACAATGTATTTTGAAATCTTATGTCGGGTTTCAGTTTTTATATGGAAGATATTCAAGATTTCACTTTCAGTTCAATAATAGTAAATTTTATAAATTAACTGACAATAATCTAACTTACATTACTATATATATATATAAATATAACTTGAAATGCTCGGCATTAAGATCATTAGAAAAATTTGACGTTTTGAATCTGTTTTAAAAAAAAGAAGAAGAAAGTAGTTAACAATTTGAATATGCTAGAAAACACGATCTTGATAACCACTTTCAGCAACACTTGTACTAGGTTTCGATGGTCCACCAGTTACAGGATGATGTGGATGTCTCAAATGTCCCTGTCTTCTTGGTGGTGCTAAATATTCAAACATACTTTGCGTATGTTGAGCCAACATTTTACTTAAATCACAAGGCATTGGATCGGTCCAGAAAAAATCATGATTTAAGGCAGTATCCGAATCATATCTTTTGCTAGGATCTAATATTAATAGTTTGTCAAGTAAATCACAAGCAAAAGCATCTTTTACATATGGCTTCAGTCTTTCTTTCACCTGAAAAATATTTACTATTATAGAAAAATACGAATTTAAAAAATTTCACAAACTATTTAATAAAATGTAACCAAATATCAATAACATGTAAAATAATTTTTAAAAAATGTATTACTTTTCTTTTTTGTCCTTTGATCAATTCCATTTTATTGAATAATTCTAAAGCTTCAACACCAGGCCAAACATCGGGAACGATCGAGCCACATAATTGTGATATTAAAGTTAGTTGTTGTTGTTCCGTGTTACCCTGCATTATTGGTGATCTACAAAGAAAAGAAAATTTATTTCTTTTATTTATTTATTACATTTGATAAATTTATTAATTTAAAATTCAATCTTTATTTTCAAAAAAGGAGAGAAAAAATAATTTTCAATTGAGGGGCTGATAGCAATAGTGGATTTAAAATATTTTGATTAATTTATCTATTTGGAAGAGATGCTGATGACTTTTCATTTACAGTTATTATTTAACCCACTTTTGCTATCAGCCCCTCAACTATCATACCTCGTCCACATTTCAGCCATTATACAACCAGCACCCCATAAATCTACAGGTGGTCCATAATTCCGATCACCTAATAATAATTCTGGTGGTCTATACCACAAGGTAACAACTCGATTTGTATAACGATTCGCTTGACCATTTTTATTTGCACTAAATGCACGCGCAAGTCCAAAATCAGCAAGTTTCAAAACACCATTTTTTGTTATTAAAACATTAGCAGCCTTCATGTCTCGATGCAAAATCTAAAAATAATAATTTTCGGTAAAAAAATTATATGATATGTATAATATGTGGCCGTTCGCATAAAAAGGGAAAATAAAAGTTCTTATAATTAAATTTTGGTTAAATAAAAACTATTAAAAGCACATTCTATTAAATTAAAATTTGGTCAAATGATATAATAATACAATATAAATACGCGTGTAATATAAAGTGGAGAAATTGAGTAAATATAAATTTCAATGATTTAAATAAAAATTTTTTTTCAATAAATTGTCGAAACCCTGAAACTAAATAAAAAAAGAAGTTAAATAAAAAATAAATTACATACATACTTTATTACTATGAATATAATATAGTCCATTTAAAAGTTGTTGCATAACTTTTTTAATCTCTCCTAAACTAAATTTGACGTTGACATTCGAAAGTAAACCAGCGAGATCATGCTCGCAAAAATCGAAAACCAAATAAAAAGTTGAGCGATAGCGATTAAATTGAGTCGCTGAAAAAATTTAAGAATTAATAAAATATTTTTGATATAAACTTTGTTAAAATATTAAACAAGATTTTGTTATTTTAAACTCAAAATTTACCTTTTGTTCTGCAGATTTCTATTAAATTGACTACATTTTCGTGCTTGAGTAGTTGAAGTATTCTGATTTCTCTCAATGCTGTTATAGGAAACTGTAAAAAAGAGAAATAAAAATTGCTATTACAATTAAATACGAATTTTTACTTTTAAAATTCATTCAGTGTAGTAAATTTACAAAATCTTGTTAGAAAAATCCAAACATAACCTCCATAAGTGTAAAGTTAAAGTATTAAAATAATTGAACGAAATTGTTTCTACAAATACTAAATTTTACTATCTATACAAATTTTATATTCTTCAATAGACAATTTAAAATAATTTTTTTAAAAATCTGTAAAATTCTTCATCATAAAAATTGAAAAACAATCAAATATTGAAATTTTGTATACTTACACCTTCTTTTTCATTTTCCATCAATACTTTTTTCATAGCCACATACTTCTTATTCGTTTTCTTGTCCTTTGCTTTGAATACCTCACTGTTATAAAGGAAATTAAAAAAACAAATGACAAAAGTATTTTGTAATTCAAGTTCAAGAAAAATAACTTTTCTTTTATTTAAGCATTTATTACATTAGTTTTAAAAATTTACATCCAATATTATTTTACAACGTTTTGTCTCCAAATATATAAAAAAATTAAGGAATTAAACAAAATGTGTTTTGTTACAAAGGGAACATAACCTAAAAACTTCTGTCTATTTATATACTTTTATAATATACTTGATATTGATTGATTATACGAATATAAACTTACCCAAATGTACCTTGGCCAATTTTGGCAACTTTTTCATATTTACTGGACTCTTCACAAAATGGAAAACTAAATTCTTCGACATATTTTTCTCTTTCTTTTTGATTCATAGTGTTTCCTTTCAAGAAGATTAAGGGAATCGAAGGGAACGGTGTGGAAATGGCTAAAGGTCCGGTTAGCCGGAACTATAGCATAGGCAGTTAAAGAACCGGCTACTGTGAAGTCTGAAGTGTGACAGTTGCGTTTGAATCTTTTATGAACTTACCTTTATATTTAATTGCGTTTAACTTTCTCAGTTAATTCTTTATGATTATGAACCTCAAAATATAGTAATTTAAGAAGAAAATTATTACGTCAGTTGATAACAAAATAATATAATAAAAATGTGGTTTTAAGCAATCTTTCAATACGTAAATAATAAAGTTGTAAATTTTGTTTTTTTTTTCATTTTGGTTAAAAATTAAGTGAGTACAAATTTTTTTTATACGTACGAGACCAGAGAAATCATGAATAAGTCAAATTTGCCAAAAAATTGGATCGTTCGCTCGTCCAAAAATTATCCTGATAAAGTATATTATTTTAATACTGTAACAAATAAAACATCATGGGAATTACCTTTAGTTGAAAATCAAAATGAGGTTAGTATAATTTTATTTATATTAATAAATTTAATTAACTAATTTACTAGATCTCTTACAATTTTTAAATATTTACATATTGTAACTTAATTATTTTATTTCTCGCTAATTTAGATACCATCAAAGGAAATTAACAAAAAAAGAAAATTAGAAAAAGATTCTGTATTATCAAGACCAGTAACTCCAGACATGATGCAAGAAAAAGAAAGACCTGTACTTCAAGCAAAACGCAGAATATCATTAATTTCACAAAAAACAACAAATGAAACTCCACAAATGAGAGAAATTCGTGCGAGAATGCTCCAGAAGCAAGCAACATTAACCAAGGGATTAAAATCAACCAAAGAAGATAATTTGAATAAGAAATTGACAGCTAGTAGAAAATTAGAAAACGAAAATACTAGCGATGGGAAAAATTTGAAAGGTAATAAAGTACAAGAAAGTACAATGACATCGCCAGTCAAACAAAAAAGAAGATTTTCCGAAATACCGAAAATCATTCCTAAAAAGCCAGAACGAAGATTATCGACAATTAATTCAAATTCAAACATTAAAGAAGAAGTTTCAGTTAAACCCACAGAAGAAAGTCTAACACCACAAATGCGTTTAATGTATGAAAAATTAAAAGAAAGAAAAGATAAAAAAAATGTATCTACCAAAAAATCGGTAACAAGTTCGTCTTCAAGTTCAAATTCAACATCTTCGAGTTCAGCTTCTGAATCTTCTACTAATTATACTTCATCTTCATCTTCGTCATCAACTTCTAATTCGGCTTCTACATCAAAGAGTAAAACACCAATTAAAACAGTCAAGCCAGCATCAAATTCACCAAAAAAACCACAAACAAATACAGTTCCTATAAGAAAATCTAGACGTTCAAGTTTAAGTCAAATTAATACTATACCCAACAGACAAGTTGCTTCAAATCTTCCAACATTAGGTGAACAAGTAAAGCCTGAAATTGCAAGACCTAAAGAAAAAGTTTTAAAAAGTAAATTAAATGAGAGTCTAACTTCTGCTCGAAATTCCAGACGTACAATATTAATCTCGTCAAAAGAACCAGGTAATTAAAAATATAATTATAATGTAATAAATGTCTACAATTTTATAATTTCAATTTTTTTTTAGAGAAAGATATAAATTTCAAAATTGCAACTCCAACTTCAAATGCTAAATATCCGAAAAATATTGCTAAACAAAGACTTGATGATATTCGTGAAAGTTTAAATTTGAAAAATAAATTAAATGAATCAACATCTGAAAAGCATGTTAATTTAGAAGTGAGACAAAATTATCATCCAGAAGTGTCTTCAGTTTTAAATATACGTAAATTAATAGAAGGTACTATTATATACTTAAAATATATAATATTGTTAATAATAGAATATAATAAAACATTTTTTTATGCTAACAATTTCAGAACCAAGGCCAGAAGTAACTATTTACACAAATGCAACAACACGTGCTAAAAATGTACGAGATAAAGTTTTAACTTATCAAAGTTCCAATGCTGATGTAAATAAACGTCGTTTGGACGATCTTAATGCTGATGAAATAGAACATCAGTCTGTATTTGAAAAGCTCAAGGATTACAGTAATGATCCATATTATGAGGAAATGGAATGGGAACCCATTGAAGATGAAAAAATTATGTATGAGGTAATTTATCGTTTGTTTTCTTCTAATTAAATATTAATAATAATTAAATTTAGAGAAAAAATTCCAAAAATTGGAACACCTCTTGAAAAAATGTAAAAATTAAATTTCAGGTACAAGCAGTACGATCTCAATTATACACTAAATCGATAAATCATACAGATGTTATACAAGAAAATATTCTTGAATTATCAAATAAAAAGAACGAGAAAGTATTATACATTGTTGTTGATACTAATGTTTTTCTCTCAAATTTACCTGTCATTGAGGAGGCAAGAGATACGATGTTTAAAAAATTTGGAAGACCATTTATCGTAGTTCCTTGGACAGTTATACAAGTGAGTTATTAAATTGGATTTTTTGAATTTAAACACTTATTAATTAAATTTTTATATATAGGAATTAGATTTTATCAAGGATGACAAATCTGCAACAAAATCGGAAAATTTAAAATTAAAAGCGAGAAAAGCAGTACAATTTTTACATCAACATTTTTCTACCAAACATCCACGAATTTTGGGACAAACGCCACAGGATGTTATGAAAAATAAAGAAATATTCGACATTGATACACCGGACGATGAAATTTTACAAAGCTGTTTACAAATACATCATTCAGGACGTTCAGTGGTAAAAATTCTTTTTTACTTTTATAATATGTATAATATATATGTAATATTAATTGTTTCTTTTTTTTAGGTGTTACTTTCGTATGACAAAAATCTTTGTACGAAAGCCATGATTCATGATATTGTCACACTAGGACGTGATGATCCTTTTGAAAAAATTGATTTTTTACGAATAGATAAAAGTCCGGGAAATAATTCATTTTCCAATTTATCATTTCATACAGACAGTAATGATAATACAAAAACAGTACTTGAAGAAGAATTATTGATCGCAGATGATATTTATGAGAAAGCAAAGGACGAATTGCGATTATTTCTTTCTCCAATAGTTGTTAGAGAAATGCGTAATTTATTTGGTGATGGCTGGGAACGTTATACAATTATAAGACCACCATGGTCAACAAAAGATGTTCTTAAATGTGCTATAAAACATTGGATGGCGGCAGTTAGTGAATCATTTATGAGAATAGCCGATTCAATAATTAAAGAATTATTCGAAAACATTAATAATCCACCAGGTAAGTGTTTTATTATTAATTATTATTTATTTATTTCTAATAGATAGTTAATACTTTAAACAAAATTTCAGTCGGTGGTAGAAAATTAAAAGGCGTGAATTATTTTTTGGGAAGATGTAGAGATTTATTGCAGACACTTAATCAGGATAAATATCCAAATCTTGTGAATAAAACGACTATGGCAATGGATGTAAGTAATTTATAATTTCTTAAATTTTGAAATTTAATTTAATATTAAATTTAAAAAATGTTTTAAATTTTTTATTAGATTTTAAGAAACAGATGTTTGGAAGAAACGAAAAGAATTTCGGAGAAAAAAATAAGAGATGAAATTGGTTATGAAGACAATATTGCAAGACAAAGTGAAAGAGCTGAAATTGCTTTGGATTATTTCAATAGAGTTTATGCATTTACTCGCGATTTTTGGTAAGAATAAAAACAAAAATAAATCTAGATTATTAGTATCATACATAAAAATAAATGTAATTAATTAATTTCAGTGGTACAGCCGCAGAAGCGATAGAAATGCCTTGTACATTTCTTTTTGAAAAGACTGAGAAAATGTTTCAAGAAAATTTTGTCAAGGATTATCAGCCAGTATTGGCAGCGAATTTAAATCAATTGCTACAACTTTTGAGCTTGTATGTTTTGGTGGCGTTAATTATTTCATCTAAATTATATTAAATGAAATAAATTATTTTTGATAATAATTTTGTTTCTCACTTTTTAGAGCTTTGGAAGATATGGATGGACTAAGACCCGATCACAAGGCTATAAATATTTTAACAGAAGCTTTAGTAACATTTTTACCCGATGATTTTAATAAATCAAGTACAGAAATAACGTCACTTGATTTATATTATTTAATAAAGACAAAGCAAGATGTTATGAAAAGAGGTTTAATGCAGTTACAAGATTTGAGTCAACAATTTTGTCGAATGGCAAGTTTCAGGTGTAAATAACAAGTATATTATATTTTGTTGAACGTTATTAAAAAAAATTTCGAGTCTTAAAGGCCTCAACAAGTCACGATATAATTATTAAGATTATTTATCATTTTGCTCTTTAAAAGCAATATAAGTATTATAGTTAAATACATTCAAATTTAAGTTCCTAAAAAAAAACAAATTTTATTTTTGCATTGAATTTTTAACATTCAGAGTGGTATACGAAAATTCAAAAGTATAAAAAAGAATTGTTCTAAACTTGATTATTTTAGTTTTAGTTTTTTGTTCAACGTTAGAAAGTGAAAATTTGTTTTTTTTATTATTAATACTAATTTCATGCATTTAATGCAATCACATGTTACGAGTTGAGAAAGAAAATACAAAAGAAATTGGTACATTATTAAAAAAAAAAAAAAAAAAAAAAAAAAAAAAAAAAAAAAAAAAAAAAAAAAAAAAAAAGTTTATCTAAACTTGTAAAGAATTTTTGTACGAGATTGTTATAAAATAAAAACAAATTTATGAATTAAATTTCTTTTGGTAACTTTTTTAAAACAGTTAAGATTATTACTTATTATTATAGAATAGTTTCCATAGAATTTCGAAATAAAATGATTTATTATTTATTTGGAAGATTATAAAATTATAGCACAGCCGTAGCATTATAATTATAGTCAGTCTGTTTTTTGGAAAAACAATATTTGAGACTGAAATTTATTATCTATCTCTCTAATTTTTATAGAGAAAAGGAAAACCTTCTTTGGGTGGTAAGAGCCAATTGTCTTTGGCATAATTCACATGTTTTGTTTCAATAACATGAAACGTGTAAGCATGACGAGAAGATTCACTTCGATTTTGATTTGATAAATGTACAGTGAGACCGTGAATTAAAATACAAGTTCCCTTACGAACTGGCACTGGTCGAAAGTTACTTAAAGAATAACATGGAGCTGGTGAATCGTATATTATTAAATCCTCCGATTTTGGATCTTTATTTCTAATATAACGTCTATGTACTCCGCTCAAATGTGATCCTGGCGCAATCCAAAGACATCCATTTTCCAGTGTTGCATCGTCAAGCGCAATCCAAAAGCCAATGACTTTCACGGGATCAGTGAGAAGATATGTTGCATCCTGATGAGGAATGACTATGAAAAACATTAAATAATTTAAGAAAAATTAAATTTCAATTTTATAATTAATTAAATTATACACTATTCAAACCTTTCGAACCAATTCCAGGATTTTTGTAAATGTACATTGATTGACAAACTGCAGGTTCTTGTAGATCCAATTGAAATGCAACTTCTTTTACTCTTTCATCAAAAGTATATTTTCTGAATTTTGGATTCAACCAATGAAGAGCATGTCCTACCTATGCAATAAGGTAATGATTTATTACCTGTCTTTAATATATAATAATTAGCTATTTTTATTTTTCAAACCTTATTAAGAGAAACTCTTGGATGAACTTTTAATTTTCCATCATTTTCTAAAGCTTCATTTTCAAAAAAATAGCTCATTTTATTTGCACTCTCCAAAAAATATCGATCCTTATTCTGTAAATGAAAAATTTATTTACTTTTTAAGAAATAAAATAATTGACAATTTTATCATTTAGATATACCTGTTGCATTTCTTCAGTACTAAAAATTTTTCTTTCATTCTCTAAAGGGAGATTAGTTGTAAATTCTTCACCACATGATTTTAACTCTTCTATTTCATCAGGTTGCAAAAAATCTTCCATAACTACATAGCCATCTTTTTCAAACTGGAATTTAAAGTTTATTTATAAAATGAATTATATTAAAATTATTTTTTAAAAACTTGAATAACAAATTGAAATGAGAATAATTTAACAAGCTCGCACAAATAAACCAAATTGAAGTCACAGGTCGCTCTATTTTGACACAGATCGGATAATCAGACCTTTTCCGGGTGGCAAAATAGTGGAACGAATTCAAGTAGAACAAACGACTTTGCAGTGATAGAAATAAAACGGAACAATTCTAATAACGCATTGTCATAAAGAATTTTCCTCGATTTCGGTATTGATTGTTTATGATTTAAAATATACAATTGACTCGGAAGAAATGATAAATATTAACATATATCTAATGGATCAATGACTTGTATGATCTCATTATAATTCAACAGCTAGATTTGCAGTAGTGTAAATTATAATTAACATATCCGGGATGTAGTTTTGTTTTAAGTGTTGCACTCGTATGTTTAATAATAGAATGACTTCGATAAGGGTAAACTAAAAATAGCACATGCAAAATACTTTTGCGAAAAGGTCTTGGTATTTTTTTTATGTTGTTTGCATTATTTTTATTATTATTATTAATGCGGGTCCGGAAGGCCCCTACTGATATAAACAGGCCCAACCAGTACATATGACCCGGCTTTATATATGGAAAAACATGTTATAATATATTTTTAGCAAACCAAAAGTATTAAAAATAAACTCACAAACACAAAACTTGCACTTGTAAACAAAAATTGAAGATTATTATCTCCCGTTAAATTTTATTTATTATGGAGGACATATTATATGATTCATTCTGGAATTTTAACGATGTATTTTTATTTTTTAATAAATATGTGAAAGTAATTCAGATTCCTGATGGCGTTATTTTCGCTATTACATATACATATATATTTTCTTGCCTTTCCTGCTTTACTTTGCAGTTCTCAACTACCTATTTCGGGACAAGGAATGAAGATATGTACATATACCTTGGAATTTACAAGTAATGAAAGAGACAAAAATAAGGTACGAGATATTTTTATTATATTCTTTTGAAATCCGGTTCGCGTCTTGGAATCACATATACGTGTTTCTATATCTTCATTAAGAACAATCATATTATGATATAACAATAAGATTTTTAATAATAAAAAATATATGTGTATAACGATTTTCGAAAAAAAATTTCCATCTCAATGAATTAATTTGGTTGACATAAAACTTGTCAGATATTAAAATAGGATTATTGGATTAAAATGGCATTAAAGTAAGATCACAATTTTCTGTGTTGACAAATATCTGAAACGAGTTTTTTTTAATGTAAAAGAAAATAAAAACAGAGGACTCCTTTTGATGGCGAGAAAAAGGCCTTGCTCTTGGAGAAGGTTGAAGATTTCTTCTCTTTGTACCAAAATATAAACAGCAAAAAAAAGAGCACGCCAACGCAAGTCACACTTGCGAAGATGACGCAGAATGTAGCTGACTCTCAAATTCCTTTATAGAAACGAAATTCTTGGAATACTTTCTTGATCAGATCATGATGATTTTGTGTCGAATAAAATGTATGTATGCGAATGCATGTGCGATTCAAGTTTAAAATATAGTTTCCTCATTCCATGTGGGTCGCGAGCCACAAGGTTGACGATTCACATAGATTTTCACTGCCAATTCTTTATATAAATAGTTCTTCTCTTTTATAACAAATTAATCCAAATTAGTTCCTTCTCATTCATTCAATTAACCTTTTCATCATTACTATCATTTAGTAAATATTTACTTGAAATATACCATTTTTATAGTTCAATCAAATAAACTAAATTCGAAATAATAATTTTATAATAATTATTCTTTTATAAAATAAATGTTTTCTAAAGTGTACAAATATATCTACAATGTCATGACATGAGAATAAACATTTACACAGCAAAGTTGATAAGACAATAAAAATTATTTTCTTGTTTTTCATAAATGGGTATGTCCCACTTTTTGGTCATTTAGGTAACATAATATTAATATAACATTATAAAACTATTATTTTTAATGGCAGTTAAAAAAGTTAATATAGACAATTAAAACTATTAAAAGACATTTATAAAATATTACCTGTTTGTAGATGTCCTTCATGTCAGAAAAAAAGATGAATAGAATTGAAAATATATTTTCGATAATGTTTTGACAACAATTACTATAATGACTGTGTGAGTCGATGATGAAGACACGTATTCAATGATTCTGTGGATCGATCTAGACTACAAGAACACTTGGTCTAAACGAAGCAAGCCAGCCAGAGCAGATCAAAAGAGGAAAGTGCTCCACTGTAACTTGGCAGTCCCCTTATCTGCTTGGATAAAACTTAATTTATCTCATTTGTTTTCTTTACATTTAAATTCATGTTTATTACAAACCTTTCCTTCAATAATTATATTTTTAAAATTTCATTTTAGTGTTATAAAGATGTTTTTATATAAAATAATTTAATACACATATATAACGTTATTTTATTAATTTATAATAATTTATAATAATTTTATTAATTTTATTAAAATTCAGTCAAGAAATATGGAATATAAAAATATTTTTTTATAGTCCAGGATTTTTACTCACATATTGGAAATTTTAAAAAACCTAACAAAATTTTTAACCAAAAATATAATTAAAAAATAGTAATAAAAAAAAATTGTTTATATAGCAAGGGAAATAGTATATAAAATATATATCCTGAGCACGTGGGTTGGTAGTGATCATAATAATAGGTCTCTGGGTTAACCAATCTGTTTGTGTTATTTTCCGCTCTTCTTGGTCTCTCTTTTACTCTCTCATTCTTAATATTATATGCTATCTTTTTACATTTACAATTTAGATAATCTTACATACATATATATATATCTAAAGTTTTTCAAATTTTGTTAAATTTTAAATATTGTACTTTATAGGTATATTTTTTTATTCTTTTTTTTATTAAATACCGAAATATAAAATTAATAGAAAACTTTGATTTAAAAAAAAATAACTTTTCCTGAATAGTAGATTTTTTTCAAATTTGAAATTCTAATTCAAGTAAAAAATACTTTAATTGATATAATCATAATGAAAAACGTGTCCAACTAATAATGGCGTGGGGGGAGGGGATTTCATTATAACTATATAGTGGCAACGAGATGTTAATGACCCTCTTCAAAAATAAATTATATACATACTTAAAAACGATAAAGTGATAATCATGATATAAATTAAAAGAATTTCTATCAATTTTTTAAGTTATTTCTTATTATGCGTGCGATATACATTTACTTCCTCATTTTTTATTTTTACACCAATGATAAATATATAACATTTTGTACTATATGGTCCATTTTAGATGAAGCGGACAACCCTGATTATGATTACTTTTAAATATTACAAATTTTATATTAAAAATTCACTAAATTAAGGAAGATGTGTGAATTTTGTAGTAAATTTAATAACGATATCAATTTTATTATAATTCTTATTATATAATATTTTTTATACCTATGACTATTGTAATATGATTATCAAAATTGTGGAAAACAATTTAAATTAAGATTAAATTGTCAATAAATATTTTTAAATAGGTATGTATTCTTATTGTTCTCAATTTCAGAATAAAGTTTTTTTAAGCACAGTTTTTCATATTGTCAATAAAAAATTTCAATCCTTTGCAAAATAAAATTTTATACCACACATGCTCGAAAAACTCGTTTTATTGATACTGTGAAGCGGGTTGTAACTCGAAGTTTACGTGTTAGGTACACATCGAAAAAGTTAACAAATCATCTTTTTTTTCTTTTTTTTTTGCAAAAAAAGCAAGGTCTGAGAATTAAATATAATCTACATATTATTTTTGGTAATTTTTTCTGGAATAAAGTGCAAACACGTGTACTAATTTACATTACTTTTTTAACATTATCCTAGAATGAATAATTTTTTTGTTTTGCTTTTCAGTTTTTTTCTATCGCAGACTGGAATGTTTGTGATAAATGCAATAAATATATTATAACAGTGATTACTTTAATAATCTTAGATAAATGTTGTTAAAGTGAATGATTTTAGTTGCACCGGGATGTCCTCTGTGTACACCGGACTGGACCGACCGGGTCGAGAAGTCGTGGTAGGGAACTCTGACTGACAATCGACAGTCGTTCACTATCTGAGTAGTAGTACGCTCGGTGTCACGCTGGACACTTCTCCCTTTTATACTATCTATATACATATATTTATATTAATCCCAACAAACCCTTTATTTTCTTCTTCCTTCAGTGTTCTTTGATACTTTTTTTTTATTTAAAATGTCTTTCTCATTTAAATCTCAAACAAATTAAGTAAGTAAGCAACAGTAGAAAAAAAAAATTATTGTCATTTGAAAAAAACGAAGAAATTTTCAAATAAAAAAACTATAATCATGAAAAAAAATTGAGACAGTAAAAATTCTTCTTACTGCAAGTATAAAAAAAGTATTAGAAAAAGAAAGAAAGAGAGAGGGAGGGAGGGAGAGAGAGAGTGCATGCGTAGATGTAAAAAAGGGAGAACGATATAGGAGAAAGAAGATAAGAATTGTTCTCCGAGACACCTGGCGCCAAGTCACCCTCTTATCGGCCCCACTGTCGTTCACCCTCGACTCGCTGGTCAGAGGGTCAATCATCCCTTCTACCTGTCCACAACTCGCACTCTCTTGCAGTTTTGCCGGCGATCGATTTCGCAGACTACAAGCAAAACAGCCTTTGAACGCTTTCGAGAGGTATATAGGCTCAGATAAAGAAAAGGCTAAGAAAAATTTTAAGAAATTTCAAAAAAGAAATTTTTTTATTTATTTATTTTGTGAAAAAGAAGTTCAAAAAAGTTCTTCTTTGAAATTAATCCCAGTGCCGATGAGGAACACTTGGCGAAAAAGATACTATTATCTGAAAAAATTGAACGGTAGAAAAATCTGCCGTAAAGGAAAACAATTTATCAAGAGGGAAAGAATCGATTAAAGATCGAAACTTTTTGGAGGACAAGAAAGAGAGTGAGAGAGAGAGGGAGAGAGGGGAAACAGGAGAACATTTCCAAAGGTAAAATTAATTACAATATGCATGGAGAGAGAAAAAAGAAAAGTTAAATTTACTAAAAATGTAAATAGAACAACCCAGTAAATTTTACCAACTTGTTAGATCAACTAGTTCTGATAATATGGGTTAGTATTGCTTTATATAAAATATATATATATATTGCGGAGAACCTTGTAAATTTAATTTTTCTTTTAACATGAAAAATTTTCTATTATTTATTTATTATTATTTTTATTTAAAATGAAAGAGAAAATTTGTTTGAAATTGGATTTATTATAATTTTCAATAATATTTCGAAAGCAAATTAAAGTCCATTTTGATATTGTTAAATGACAATCTACGTTCAGTGACCTTTGTTTTGATAATATAATTTTTACTTGTTTTGAAGTTGTTTCCTAGCAGTTTTTTAATAGATAGTGTGATGGTTTTTCTTGAATTTATTATACATTCATCTTCTGAGGTATTCTGTTTTGAGCAGTACATATATGTACATATACATAAATATAAAGTTATTTCCGTGATATTTTTGAACCTATCATGACAGGCGGATTAGATACATGTTAGTTAAAATTCTAAGAAAACAATTTTTATACCTATTAAAATTCTATTTTCATAGGATTATATTTATAATTCTTTTAATGTGACACTATAATTTATTTCTTATTGTGGATAAAATATTTAAAGAAAATAAATTTCTACTAATAGTTTTGAATTCTATACTAATTTTTAACCAAAATCATGTTAAAGTCAGTTTCTTATTTTTTGTCAATATCTTTCGAAATCATTAAAGATAGCATATTTAATATGTACAACCATTTGACCTCTTCTATCTTTTCGAGAATTACTCTATATTATCTATTTATTTGGTCGATATATGTAAAACGTGTCAACTCTCTAAATCTGAATTAGTAAAAGTTTTAACTAATTTCAATTAGTGTCTGTCTTTTTTTGTGAATGATTAACAATTTAATTAAGAATTAAAACATTCTTTTTTCTAATTTATTGTAGTAAAACTAATTCGTTGCAAAAACTGAGGCACTAATTTAAATTTAGTTAACATTTTTAATACTAATACTGATTATTAGCCGTTTTATTAATTTGCGAAATTTTCTATATATGAAAAACCCATAAAATCGATATGAAAATTATTTCAAGTACATATTATTGTATCTATATACTGACGAACATTTTAGTTACTGATTTATTGTTATAACAAAAGGTCATACACTATTGGCAACGTCTTGACATTGAATTTCAGATAAATTATAATCTCCAACAATTGAATATATATTATATTTAGTCTTACAATTTATTTATTGAGGAGGAGCTGTATACGTTCTCAAAATGATCTTTCACTGATTTTTAGTATTAGTATTTTAACTAGAATAATAGTGAAACTTTCGCTGTTCCAGGTAAAAAGTTTTAGTGAAAATTCGATTCGATTTTTTAAAGTTTAGTCAAAATTCGTGAAAGCAATTTTTTCCTGAAATATTAACTAATCTCTAATTTTGAATAAGTAAAAAATGTAACAAGGAAATTAAACAGTCACGCGGGGCTATTGACTCTAGTTATTCCTAAGTGACTCATTTTGATTCCTATAAGTGAATCTTAAAAAAAATTGCGAGCCATGAATCATGAAATTAAGGGGTAATTTTTTTTATAATAAGCAAACACTCTCTATTGGTATATAAAATATGACATTAAACTTGGCCGTTACTGTGGTAATATAAATCTAATTGCAATTTAGATTATAAATGTTATAATACACTATCATTATTTTGAAACAATAAAATGTTAATTGTATAGATTATAAACTGGGTTATAAGTATTATATGATCTGTTTTCGTTCTATACATATAATTCGAATTCTACATAATTTATTATTTTTTGTTAAAATATAAGATGATGCAATAATTCATAAAATGTCATTATCTTTATGAATTTAAAAAATAAAGATTCGATGTGTGCTTTGGAATATCTTACCTAATTGCTAAGAATTTTTAATGTGTGTGAAAATGTTCAATTCCACATGAATAAATATTAGTTTTGTTTACATTATACATACGCACATTGAAAAGAGAAAAATTGAATTGGTTTAGGTGTAGATAGAATTGAAACTAGGTTTAATGCAACTTTCATTGGCTCTCTCTCTCTGCTCTCGTTCATACGGCTATAACCTTCGGACTGTTTAATTCCACCTATGGAGAGGGATTAGCCAATAATAGTGCTTCCCTTTGTGTGTGTAAGTGTGATTCAAAGCGCGAGTTGAACAATCATTGCTGTATCTCTCATATATATATATATGGGTGATTCTCCGCGTAGCGTACAATGTAGTTATTGCTATTAATAAAATTTTTTTTTACAATTTAACAAAAATTAAATTATAATCTGCTGAGGCTTCCCCATGACGCACAAATAATATCAATCTTTTTCAATCTGTTTCGTATTCACGGTATTTATACTTGCTAAATTAATTTAACAGAAAATATTAATAATTATTGAATTTATTGCAAAATATGTGAAGATGATGATTATGTATGTAATTGGATCTTTAAAGGTGTAAAAACAAAAAAATCAATTATGAAATTAAATATAGTTAGTTAGTTGAATTGGAATTTTGTTTATTTCAGAATAAGATTAACATCAATTTCATAGAAAAAAAGAACATATTAGGTCCCACTGCTTTTTGAAGGGATATGAGTGAAACTGTCCCAAATTCTGTATTATCCTTATTTTGTACATAAGGGTACAATCTTTTCGGTAATGTTTGTATAAGATCAGAAGATATGATTTCCCGCTATACATATACATGACGTTTAAGTTTCACGGCTAAAAATAGCCAACTCATTTGAAAAATTTTATTTTTTTCATAATTTATATGCATCTCATAATAATAATCAAGAGAAGTTGAATCAAAACCCGTTTTTGCGGAACTTTTCGACTGTTCGTATATGTACATACAGACTTTTACTTGTACAATTGAGAGGGATGTGAGAGAGTAGGAGAATATGGAAAATTAAGAAAGAGAGAGGGAGAGGGAATATTGGTAGGGAAGGAAACAGCATAAAACTGAACAACACTTTTGTATGTCTTTTAAAAGTAGCCAGACTCGTTTGTGGTTATTTTTAGACGTCCTTATCGGGAATGCACTATTATTAACCTCCGAGTGTATCTCAAAACAAACTGCTATCCATACTGCTGAATTAATATACATATACATATACATACATACTACTATATACATGTATATCAACATATTTTGAACAATTTTTTTAATTACAAAAATTGTTATTAGGAAGTTGGTATTAATAAATCAGAATCTTATTTTGATAAAAATTTTTAGCCAGCAATTTTCATATATGATAATCTGGATAACAATAATTCGATAACATGCACGTATTCACGGACAATTTACAATTAATATACCTATATATATATTTATGTGAAAGTTTCAGAAAGTAATAAACACTTTCGGACTTCAGTCTCAATTAACTTAAAACTGATAAAATGTCTCTTTTCTAAATCAAATTTACATGACTCTTGACTCTTTGTTGCGATAACTAATTGAAACTTTTCTTTCATCACGATGTTGAGACTATTATTATTATTATTATTATTATTGTATATACCTATATAGTAGGAAACGTAATTGTAATTGTAATAGTTTAGAAATTCAATTAATGAAAATCTGAATTTTCTGAAAATATAATTTTTAGTTTAATCGCAAAAAATGAAAATTTTGTCTTAAAACAATACAAATAATTAACTCATAAACAGATTGTGTAAAGAAAAAGAAAGAGATTTTATGTCATTGAACGTTTCGGACTTATTCCACAAATTTCTGATCTATAAATAAAAATTTATCAACAAATTAGATAGACATTAAAACCACCAGTCAACAGATACAAGAGGATCCGCCATGATTTCAGAACTTTCATTTATTTATAAATATAATAATGTAAATATTTTCAAAATATGTTAAGTATATATATATATATCTAAAAATGGAGACATGCAGTCAAATATTATCAGTATATGTATGGAAAAGAATTTAAAATTATCTTCTACTAATATAGTACATTCATAACAATGGATATAAAGAAAATAAAAGAAATGATAAAATAGAATCTCTCTGACATTAGAAGTGATTAGAAGTGAATTTTTGCACTAAATGAAGAATAAACTTTATATGAATGAATCATTGATAAAATGGGTCAACTTTACATAGAAATAATTAAATAAAAAAACAGACAAAAAGAATTTCTATGAAATTATTAAAATAAAAGTTTTTATACAATAATGCTGTTACACAAGAAGTAGACGTATACGACCTTATTTCATACATGAGGGTATAAATATATATATATTGCGTTCCAGACGTTGTCTGGTAATCGTTGTTATTGTTACGCTAATACAACTCATCTCTTTATAACTAGCACATATTCAAGAAAATCAATTTTAGTTATTTATTTAAAAAAACTTTACAATATTAAACGATTTTTTCATCATATTCTTCTAAAACTATTAAAATTATCTTTTTCCTACACTCTTATCAATAACTGTTTAAATATGAATCATTATAGAACAGTGAAAAGTAAGAAATAATTATATTTCTTTAACAAATTTTTTACCATGGATTTTTGTGCAAAAATTCAGTTTCTTTCATCTAATTATTACACAAAAAGAATAAGTTCACTAAAATTTGCTTAAATTATTTTCTATTTTTGAATATGACAAAAAGTTGGAAAATTGTTCATTAACTTTTTCTAAAATTTCATAAACTTTTATTTGTACACAGTTGCGCCACCAACCTGGCTCATTTTTTCTGCACATCAAAATGAGTAGCGTATGCTACTCTTTTTGAGTTCAGATTTTTTCTGTGTATGCATGTGTAGTAAATTGAACGTCATAGAGATTAACAAAAGTTTGTGGAATCTTAGAAAAAGTTAATATAAAATTTTCTAACTTTGCTTGGAGAACAAGTGTAAGTTACATTTTTACATTCTTTGCGTGTGTTTTTATTATTATTATTTAAATTCAGATTCAATATAAATTTCATTTTTATCGAAAGATTTATATCTAAAATAGACATTATAGTAAAAATGTAAAAAAAAAATTTTTATTTATATGGATATAGGAAAAAAAGTAAAACGACAGCGACACGTTGATGGCAATGCACTCGAGGATTTGCCCCATCATCGTTTATATGAAACGATAAATATATACAATATGTTTGAATACTCAGCTGAATGCAAACAGCTCATTCTTGTGTGTATTTATGTCACTGACATGCTTGTCTATTAAGAAAAGTAAGAGAAAGACAACAAATATGTATTTTTTGCACAAGATTCCTTTCTTACATTGTTGTACATTATTATTATCGTCCTAACACTTTGGTGATACTCTTACTCGACATGACACCCGGGAATATCCAATCTCATTGTAAACACGATTGTTATTCGAGGAATATCCCCAACACACATATACATTATACGTAAATGTATATATACTGCTGCATATATTTTTTGGAACTAACTATTTGTCCTCAACAAAAAAAAGATTTACTTTTATTATAGATTATTTATTTCAATAAGGAACATAAAGATTAAAATAATTCCCTGATTTAATCAGTTTTGAATTGAAATGGAATTCGCCATATATATGTACATGAAACAAAATAGTTACTATTTCATAGCTTTGGCTTATATTAGACCAGAGATTACTAGATCAGTAGATGACATAATCATTCTGTTTACGAGTCATAAATGTGTAGAGAAGGCCTTGTTTCCGATTGCAACAACTAACTAAAAGCAAGGGTGATTTGTTATAGTACCTCTATATAATAGTCCGATAGTCCAACTTATCGTTAACAGAAGAAAATTCTTATCGTAGGTCCACGTGGATAAAATACTCACAAAAATAACCCAACAATATTAGTTATTAAAGGCTGAAAATATATTTGATTATTGAAATTTAAAAAAATAATCTTCTTTCGTTTTGACATATGTATAAATAGTGTATATATATATATATACTATGTTTAAGTCAATCGCAAGAAGTTTGAGGTCAAGAATTCCAGCCTTGGTTTTGCAAGATAAATAATAATGATTTCATTAAAAGCGGATTTTTATAATTATCACAAATTAATAAAAAAAAAAAAAACATTTGTCATGTTGCAGAGTTCAGTGGAAGCGAGCTCAAGTTTCAGTTTAATCAAGGGCAACGAGAGCCATGAACGAGTCTGTTGTGGCTTTTCTGATGATGTTGTTATTAGGGTCAGGTCAAACGTTCCTGACCCATAGATCCATAAGACAAGTTGAGATCAATTTATCCAAAAATCAAAATTATTCCAATCTCACACCAAAATCAACAATATCATCATCATCATCATCATCGAATTCTCCAGAGACAACAACAACAACAACACCAAACGAATATATTTGCATAGAAATCTCACCAAATCTTCCGCCTTGCAATTACAACAAGTAATTATAATTATTTTTAAATGAAAACAATTTTTTTATTTTTCCAAAGCATATTTAATGTTTAACAACATTTTTATTATAGGGTTGAGAATTCAATGGTGGAGAAGGAGACTCTTAAACAAATTCATGCGAAGAGAAAAAGAGATATCCCAAAATCATTAATAGTTTATAAGATAGAAGGATGTAGACCTTCACGGTAAGTTTACTCACTATTATATAATAAAATGCGAACATGTGTTTGTATTTTACTGATTTTTGCTTAAAAACTTTTACAGGTTACCTTTTCGATACCCATATTGTAAGCCCGAGGAATCGACAAGTCCATTTGCAAAAATACAAAATTTACGTCCATTTAAACCAAAAGAAGTTTATAAAACTGCTCCTCAAGTTTTTCCAAAAATCAACCACACCGATTGGTTAGAGCAAATGAAGCAACTACAATTAGAACATCAAATTAAAACTCAATTCGAAGACAAGCCTGTAAATATATGATTTAAGTTATAATTTTTCCTCAAAAAATAATAATAATTTTAGTGATTTAATTTTAATTTTATAATTTTAATGATAGAACGTCCAAGGCAAAACAAAAAGGACTCAGGTGAGTCCCTCCGAAGTCACCTTATAAAATTGTTATGGATTCAGATAAACGCAAAGTTAAATATACAATATGGTTCGAAAGGTGAAGAAACAAGCTTTCAGTGCATGCAAAAATCAAATTACTAAATTCAAACGCCAGGGCTAGGTAGCTTGAAGAAATTGAACCTTTTTATCGGGTTTTTTCAAAAAACTGTAAAAAATATAAAACTGAAAATTTTTTAAATAAATAATTGTATTTCATTTTTTCAACTCTTTTGAAGAGAAACTGACTAAGAAAACAGTGCCCGTGCAGAAATTCGCCAACGTGGACCCTGCCAGGGCCCTTTCAAAATTTCTGCACGGGTGGTTTTTCTATATTTTTTATCAAATTTACGAATCACTTTTTTTTGCTATGTTACATAGAAAAATTTTCTCGATATACTTCAACTCTAGGCAGTGAGTACAAACAAGTTTTGACTTATCTCTTTTTAAATACGCTTCTGTTTAAGAGTATTGCTGGTAGACCCTTCGGGCAAGACGGGCGCTTGTATGTTCTATCATTAATCCACATATGTTTCTAAAATAATAAGCAAATCCCCTGTTTCCAGAATGCCAGTGAGAACAGAATTAAACAAAGGCAAATATTCGAAAAATATAATTCAAACAAAATTTGGAACAACATTCAAGATGGTGCTGATGACGAAGAAGAAGAAGAAGAAGTCTACAAAGAAAAGAAAAGACTATCCAATATGAAAAAAACAATACACAAAACACAAAAAAGAATTGAAGAAGATATTCAAGAAGCAAGAGGTCTGGATCAAGAATTAGATAAACTTGTCGCTGAATTGGAATTTCCTTATTCAAGAGCAATTCCTTTTGATCCGGAAAAATTACAAGTTGCAAGAGTAGGAAGTGAATTTCCTTATTCAAAAGCAATACCATTTGATGCTGAAAAATTACAAGTTGCACGAGAAAGAAGTATCATTCATCCATATTGGAAGGATATTCTCTATAGAATGCAAAATAATTACCAACTTCCACATAATTTCGATGACTATTCCGATGAATTATTATCATCATATGAAAATAATTTTCTCTATCCAAAAAGAAGTCATCATTCACGAAAATTACAAAGTGTACATAATAATTATATTAACAATAATAATAATAATAATAATATTAATAATAATAATAATAATAATATTCATTCAAAACAAATTTTGAGCAATATTATTAACGAAGAAAGTACGACTCGAGAAAAATTAAATAGACTCAGTAGCGATAATTGGGAGAGAGAAAAGAAGACTTTTCTTCAAAAAGAAACTAATTATCATCAAAAACCAATGAGACTTAGGAAAAAACTGCAACATCAATCTCGATCTTCATTAAAGGATAAAGAACATAAATTTCATTATACAAACAATAGAATTGAAGAAATTGAATCCATTGGCGAAGGGAAACCTCATTATTTGTCTAGAAATTTAAGATTTATTGAAGAAGGTAGAGAATTTCCATATACAAAAGCAATTCCATTTGACGCTGAAAAACTTGCCATTGCTGCTGCAAGAAAAAGTGATTTATCAAAACAAGCATTTCATTCAAAATTATCGACAAATTCAAAAGAACATATCTCTAGAAAGCCTTTGGCTTTTAACGCTGGCAACAATTTGTCTCCATTACTTTTTGTTCCGTACAACAGTAGAAGACCTTCAATTCATCATTCAAAAAATCAACGAAAAAAATCATCTTGAAAATATTTTTTTTTTCTAATTATCAATAAAAATGCAAAGAGTCGGAAAGAAGATTTTTTTTCCTAAAAATTTTAATTCATTTCTTAGTTCAAATCTTAAAACTTCAACTTGACAATTGTTCAAAATTAATTACAATTTTATGAAATTAAGATTTTGAAAATTATTTCTTTTACTTTCTACATTTGTTCCGACTCTTTAAATCCTCTTTAAGATTATCTGAAGATATTTGCTGCAATTATCTGCAGCAACATTTTCACAATTCACATTCCTTTTTTTGTATTTTGACTTAAACGTGTAATATTCCATCGCAAAAGACTACCGCACATAAAAAATACAAAGAAAAAAAGTTAAAAAAAAAAAGAAAAAAAAAGAAAATTCATGAGAGAAAAATAAAAGAGATTCTTATACTTTTGTAGGTGTAAGATGTAATTTATTTTAAATAGGTCTGCATCTTTTAAAATCAGATTGCATTGTTGTTTATTATAAAAAATAATGTGCTGTGGCCTTTGACATTAAAAAAGCTCGATTTTAATTTGCATGTATATCTTCTTCATTAATTTATTTTTTTGTCTCGATTATAAAAAGGGGCTGTGCAAGTGACTCATTTTTTTTTAAAAAAAGGCTGACTTTTTTGTCCTTATTGTTGCCTTTATATTATTTCGATGCAATTTGTACCGATCTCGACTTTGCACGGAAAAAAATATCGGCCGAAATAGCAATATGTATAATGTTACAAGTTGCAATTTTAATTTAATTTTCTTGAAATTCAGAAAATATGAAATATTTATCTTCTGATAAATGAAAAATTGAAACTTGTTACAAAAGTAGTTTTTATAATTAGTTATAATAAATAAATAAGTTTTAATTACAGTAGAATAGTAATCGCTTATCGAACGCATAAAAAAATTACATAAAATTGACTCAAACCCATGTATTTTATAGCTTATTTATAGCTTCTTGCTATATATAATAGACTCAGTAGTCAATATCTCAAAAAAATGCTAATATTTTTTTCTGTGTGCGATCCGCATGGAATATGTGATATTACTTGAACTACGCATTAAAATAGTCAATTTGTGATCGACCTGTAGTCTTAAAATTGTGACAGCAGGTGACAAATATTCGCCAGCGCAAAAATCTAATAGTGAATTCTAGAAGTAGATTGTAAAATGTATATCGTTAATTACGTATAAAAGTTTCCTGGAACTTTTTTTAAATTATAGTTTACAAATTTGTAAGTAAAATATTTGTATAGGATTCACTCGTCAAATTTCATCTCTCTCTCTCTCCCCCCCTTCTCTCTCTCTCTCTCTCTCTCTCTCTCTCTCTCTCTCTCTCTCTCTCTCTCTCTTATTTCTCCATTTCATTGTTTTCTCAAAGTCATGTTGATGATATATGTATAGTTAAGCATTTAACAAACGTAACATATGTAATTTCTTTTTAATTTATTGTCAACTGCGCATATATAATCATTATTCACTCGATATATATTATATAGCTCTTTGATTGTTTATATTGCGATTTTAATAATATAATGTTACAAAAAAAAAAAGTTTTGAGTGAGGGTATTAGATAATTTTTTTGTAATAATAAAATACAAGTAAATAAATAAATTATATATATATATATATATATAAATATATATATATAAATATTTATGAAATTTGAACCTACTTTGGACCTATGTTGAACCTACTTTCTACTTTTATTGGCTACTTGAATTTTCTTGACTTGAACCTACTTTGAAAAAATATCGAACTTATATTGGACACATTGAACCTATATTGGATCAAGTTTAAACCAACTTTATCCTAAATTGGACAAACTTTAGACCTACGTTCAATCAAATTGATAATAATAATAAAATAAATTTTATTTAAATAATCTCATTTTATAGTTAAAATATTTGAAATAAATAACCATATAACGTTTTCATAAAAAATTATAATTACTTGAAAAATTTATATAAAAAACAATTGATAAAAATTTGTTAATTTTGAAAAAATAAATCTTTTTTATCGACTGAGACTATTTACAAGTGTCTTCAAATTATAACAGGTGGAAGCACAATATTAAAGTTGCATTTGTGTTTATAACAAAATCTCAAATATTTAAAAAATGCAAATTTTATTTTTTAAAAATTTGAATTTTTTAAACTTTACGATCAAATATTTTATATAGATAATACATTACTTATGTAAATATCTAAATGTATCATATTTTATAATACAGTTTAAGGTAAAATTAAAATAAAATCCTATTATTTTCAATGCAATTATATGAATGCTCTGTAAAATTTTTGCAAGATTGCGAATTAATGTGCAAAGCTTTTTTACTTGGATTATTTTTTATCGAATTTTTTACTAAAACATCTATGTAATATTTAAAAAATAAGTTATTATATATATTTTTTTCAAAAATTCTCTGATGGAAAAAAAGAAATCACTGCACCTGACTCACCTGGGCGACACATATAGCGTTATATTATATTGTACATGGAGGCTGTGGATAGAAAGCTAAAGGAGCGCCTTTTAGTTTAGTATGTGATCGTTGCTAGTGATAATCGATCTTCGTGTCGAATGTGTCTTTTGGATTCAGGTCATTTGACCTGATGCTCAACACACTATGGATCATTATAAACAGGTTCAATTTACAAAAAAATCAATAAAAATTAATCTATAATATTGATTATAATGATTGATATATATTAACATTTCAAACTAAAAGTATTGTTTTATAATTTCAAAACAAATATTTCATCTAACACATTTGATTTTATATCATCTATATAATCCGTTTTTTTCTGTTTGAAGTAGTACATACATTTTAGAAAGCTATATATACATATTCGAGTGAATTTTTGTTTACGCGAAGAGAAACCGTATGTATGTATGAATAAAATGTGTGTGTGTGTGTGTGTGTGTGAGTGCCAACACCACGTGTGTATACATCAGATATAATATAAATAAATAAAAAAAGAAGAAAATGAAAAATTATTGAAATATAGTGCAATTTAAAAATTCTATATTATGTTTTGTTTCCTAATATACTTATATACCTGAAAATTTTTTTTTCTAATACTAGTGTAATCACAGCTTGAATGCACGAGTGAACCCACTCATGAAAGGACATTATGACGTAAATGTAAAACACAATATATGGTCTTAAAACTCAATACTCTTAAAGCCCACATTTTTCATATAGCTAATTAGTGATTGTATAACTGAAATTAAAGTAATTAAACATATTTTTTTTCAACTTTTCCTTTGCAAGAATTTTTTAATCAAAGAGGAAATAAAAAAGGGACTTCTTTTTAGAGTACATATTGTCTTATAAATTAGTCACTTTTGACTAATTTAATTAATTATTCATTAAATTATATAATAGCATTTTAAAAATAAAAAATGTAAATAACTATAAAGATTATCTCGAAAAACATGTATCGTTTTTCTGTTATCAGATATTTGTCTAATTATAAGAATATTCGTTGGACTTGGAAGAAAAAGGAAAAAACAACTATTAATTATATAAATATATATATAATGGGACAAGCATGGTGTAAAGCAAAAGCTGCTCAAGATCCAAAATCACCTTTTGACAGAATTTTGGTTCGATGTGCTCACCGGGTATGTGTCAATAAATATTATTTATAACAAAAAATGCTTTAAAACTCTGCTCATCTTTTCTTACGTATATAACAATAAAGATATTTAATTACCAATTTCTTTAAGAAAAATGAAATAAAATCGATTACAAAAATAAATATATATTATTCTTTATTTTAAAAATTGAATTAAAATTTTTTTCCATATATCAAAAATTTTAAGCTTTCTATTTTTAAAATTTACCTAGCTCTCGATCAGACCTCGATAACACCCACAACATTTTTATATGTGACCATGTGATATAATTATACGAAGAAAAGTAAAGGATAAAAGACAGAAAATATCAAAATTATCAATATTCCAAGTATATATAAAAAATTTTGATTTTCCTACATAAATTTAATAAGAAAACTGTATTTTGAAAATAAAAAAAATACCTTATTAAATTTACATAACATAAGAGAAAAGAGAGTTATCACATAAGCAGTCAATCACTGTACATTGTTTTTTGCAAATGTAATATACTTTGCGAGTCTATTTCGTAATTTTTGATGACGCTAATATAAATCGTACATACTGTAAATGCAAAACATGACAGGAAATATAAGTCAGCTGATATTTGAAAAACAAGTGAACGTAAACAGTTTAGATTATTTTTTAAAAACTCAAAATATTTATTATAGTAGCTGATGATTTATGTTTTAAATTTTAAACAATTCCTATATAACGATTTTTACTTTCTGAGTTTAAAAAAAAGTTACCCCTTCATTCTCTCAAAATAATTGGATTAAACTATATACATGCAAGGAGGATAGATAACTTTTGTTATCTAAATTATTCCTCTCAAAATAAACGTGTATTCTTTTAGTGCCAAAAGAGGCTTATGCCAGATAACTTTTTCTATACTATTTTGCACTTTATTTCGATGAGATAAAGGTGAAATTTTAAGGCCAATCCTAATGGTTCAAGTATTTTTATAATTATACATTATATTAATACACAACAGTCGGAAATTGTCGATATGTTTAGCATTCTACTGCATTATATTGAAAAGATGTCTAAATGAAATAAAAAGTTAAAAAATGAACCGATCATTATATAAGTCTTTTTTACACCTAAAAATATACCTACAATTTTCGACGGTTCTACGTATATACAATATAATAATAATATAGTAATATATTATTATTATATTACTATAATTTATCGAACGGCAAATATTCACATAGACATATTAAGTTGACCTTATTTAAATATTAGCGTAAGTTCGCTAATTTTGAAACATATATATAAGAACTTTTTTATGTACTTTTCTTGAAGCGCACTCACAAATCTTAGGAAATAAAATTTATACCACTCTTCACATAAAAACATCAACTTGTGCTTTTTATACTTTCCGAGAAAAGTATTCTTTTTTTGCATAATTTGCTATTATGAATATAAATATTTTTTTATAATTCAGTACTTGTCGATTTTGAAATTCGACATTAAAAAATATTCAAAGTTCAAACATATAAAGATTTTGAAATATTTAAATTTTTTATAAAAAAAAATAAAAATTCCAAATCGTAATTTTAAATTCTGAAGGATACAATATCAGAAAACCAATTGGTATGGCAAGATAAATTTTGATGAGTTGAAATTTCATATAGTTCCACGCTTAACTTTTCTGTCGTATATATATGTTTGTGTCTCTAGTATCCTGTACATCTATAATCCTTAATTTTTGAATCCCGAGAGCACCAGCTGATATATATTCTCTAATTTAACCGACAAATAACTTTCTGAGACTCTTGTAGAGCAACATGTCAACGAAGTAGAGTTTTGAGTTGAATTTGCAATGTAAACCATCCTGAATTACACTTGTGTTTAATTTAGTTTTAACCTAGTTATATAAAATTTTGACAAGCTGTTTTATACAAAGACATTAAAATACATTGACGACGATATATTATATATTAACTGAAATTGAAACTGGTTATTAAAAAAACAAGATTTTTTAAAAGTTAAAATTATTATTGATCCTTTAAAATTTAGGACAAGCTTAAAAAATACTAGCATGAATAATACTGCCGCTATACTGTTATATAAAATCCCAATGATTTCTAAAAACTATTTCCATTATTTAATATCTACTAAAAAATGTTTAATATAAAACATTTGAATTAATATAAAATGTTGAAAAATATACAATTTATCATTGTAGGTATTTTTGAATTTATAGCTTTGACTATATTGTATAAAGAAAAACAAAATAATATAATCGAATATAAGAAAGACTTTATTCGCACGACTAACTTGACATCCGATTTATTCCTTGATTTATTCTTTTCAGATATATCCTGGCCTGAAGGAAGAGTGTTCAGTATTGGGTGCTACCCAAAGGGTCACAAGGTAGTATATATTCGTATAATAACGATAAAAATATTCCTATTTTTTATCTTACAAAAATATAAAACAAAATTTAATTTATTATCTATAACGCATATGAATTCTTAAATGAAAAAAACTAAAATCAATGTAGGTCACTGAACTATTCGTGCGTATATGAACTTACGCCATCAATAAGATAGCGGTCAATTAGTATTTTATAGAAAAACAAGAAAAAAAGTCATGTAAAAGAACTACATAAATAATTAATAAAGGAGGTCAAGATCGCTGCATAATGTATCAGGAATAATAGAAATAGAAATTTGTCAAAAGGAAAGAAGTTAGCTTCGACAACTAATTTTTAACTGTATAATAATTAGCAGACAGAAATACAGCTAAACATTTAAATTATAACTACTAAATTGTTGTTGTTACTAAATCAGGAATGAAACTAAATTTTGAGAAATTTCGCTTGTTTGATTCCTGTGTGTGAAAAAGATAACTATATGGGAGATAAATTTAGCTCCGACAATAAGTTGCAAAGCGGTAACAGACTCGACCTTAAATGGACACATTCTAGCATGACCGCGATCCGTGACTTGATCTGCGTCACGCAAATCACGTAATTCCTGTTCTTTTTTGTCAGATTTCTATCAAAACAATAATAATAAACTCCCTCTCTTCATTTTTATACATATGATTAAAAATCGAACGCAATATTTTTTAAATAATATTTTAAATTCCATTCTGTTTTTTTTATAATATTTTTGCTTATATTTATTAATCCCGCTCTTTTCTCAATATTTTTCAATTATTATAATTTAAGTACTGATAAATTAAGTTACTATGTTTTTTAGTGTATAGCGTATAAAAAATATTGCAAATATACATGTATATATATTATGTACAGTAACGTACCTAAAAACCACAGCGCCTATAGGAGAACATTTAAAATATTTTATACTCTTTAAATGTTTAAATGATTTATTTAGTACTTTTATTATCTATTATTTTTTATGTTTATTTAAAAAAAATTGCATTCGAATTTCTTGCAGTTCGGAAATAGGTTATGCAAGAGGTTGCAGCGTAGATTCAACGGATAAACCTTTTCACCCTAGCGAATGGGTTGACGTTAATCTTGAAGTATCCAACACTATTCTCTATTCAAGTAAGTACCATAATCCTCTTCTATTTTATTTAAAAATTTAAAAAAATATATTTTAAGTTACGTTATAAAGAATTTTTTTATAAGTTCCAAATTTTTTCTTATATATATATATATATATACATAAATTATTTATAAGTAAATAAAGATATTTAAGATTTTTATTTTTTTCTTTTTTTTTATGATAGATTCAAATTTGACAAAAAATATAATAACACCAATACCTCCACCAAGAAAAAGAAAAAAAATCAGAGGTCGACCATTACCACCAAAACCAGATGATATCATTGAAAATCATCGTCCAATAAAATGTCTCTCAACAAATTCAGAACCTTTGTATTCTTCAGTAAAAACACAAAATTTCAAAACTACTTATACTCATCTTGAACCAACTGAAAATAATTTAAAGGAAAAAAATTCACACTCCTTTGAAGATTTACAAAAATTAAAAGAATCGTACGATCATGAGGTTAGTATAAATAAAGAAATATATATATACTCTCTTAGAATTCACTATAATCTTCTTATTATAAACAATTATTTAAATAAAAAATGGATTATTTGAAAATGTATAAATTTTTTTTCAATATTATGAGAAAAAAGATGGTAAAGTTTGAATTTTTGAGCTTCATTGGAAAAGTTAAGAAATCTTCCTCTGGTTTGAAAAGCAGGTGAATAGCACAAAGGAGTTAATTCCAAACGACGTAGTTGTGTCCGAAGAAGAAAGAAGCTTTATCGATAATCGAAACGTCAGGAGGCGAAGTAAACTTCAAGAGGAGGAGGAGGAGAAGCAGGAATATGATGAGAGATTCTTGAGTAGTCAATCGATTCAAAACTTTTCAACTACAAATCATTTCAACAAGGATCACAAGGATATAGTAAATAATCTGGACGTATACAATGAAAGATCAAAGAATAATAGTACAATCAGTTTACCAAATTATAATGAACTCCAAGTCACTAGGGAGAGTTATAATGATAATAAAAACAACTCAGAAAATGAGAAACAAGTATCATCTGAAAGACTTTTGAGAAAATCAATAGCAAGCTCATTACCACCTGAAACATTTATATTTAATCCGAAGGTTCAATTTATGTTTTTATTTTATCGAAACACTAAAATTTTTTAGCAGACATTTAATTTGAAAAATGTATATTTTTTAGATTACAAATGAAAAATTTGAGGATATTGTATGGCAAGCAGACTTTCAAGATGTCCAAATCAATAAATTTGAGAATGATAAATTTATGGTATATATTCATTTTTTATTTTTTATTTTCTTTTGGAAATTTTTTATTACTTTTCCTGTTCATTTTTACAGAATTTGAATAAAATTCAATCGGAGGATGCAAATAATCAAGAAAGAATGGAAAAATCCCCTTCAAAGATAAATATTTCTCCTAATTATGGAAGCTTAAATTCCTTGGAGACTTCGATATCTGAACAAATAAAAGCCTCAACTCCAATCAAAACAGTCAATGATGATATATCAAAAAAATTGGAAAAGTAAGTTTTCAATAAATATAAAGTATTAATAATATATAGAGAAATTTAAATTTAGACAACTAAAAACAAATTTTTTAATTTAATTCATATTTATCGCTCTAGTTCTAGATTGCTTGATTCAACTGAAAGTAGTCACAGAGAGAAAAATAAAGTTGAAGATGACTCGAGAAATTCTTTCTTCTCGCCTGACACATCAAATTTGTACAGTCAAGTTTTTTACGAGGTTAAAGATACTTTAGCAGGTGAAAAATAATATTTTTCAATTTGTTATTTTTTTCTTAAAAATTATATTTTCAGAAAATAAACTATATACATGTATGGAATTTCATTTTACAGATGATAGTAAATTTTCTCAAGAAGAAATCAGAAATTCAGAAATTTTGAAACAAAACGAAAGAGAGGAAAAGGAGCTTGTACTTGATTCGGAAATTCATAGAACCATTTCTGAAGAGTCGTTACCAATAGAAATGCTTGAAGCTGTCGACAGTGATTTAGATAAAGCAGATGATGATGATTTTTTCGAACGAAAAACAACTAAGGATGTACAAAACAGATTAATGAAAAATTTCGTTTCAACTGAAGACAAAAATAGTAAAGAAATCATAAACACACCACCATCGAGTCCTGTAACTAAAATCAAAGCCGATGTTGTTGATAATGATCATTCAGCATTATTAAAAGTACTTCAAGAAGAAGCTAGTCTTTTAGAACTTGAAATTGCACTTTCAGATATGCTCGAGAAAAAAAATGATGAACAAGATGAAGAACAAACAGATTCATTAGAAATAATAACAATAAAAAATGATGATGTGACAAAATCAGAGGAAAAATTAATAGAACCTGTAGACAAAGAAAAAATATTTATTGACAAATTAAAACATAAAGATGAAAATAAATTGCAAAATATGGAAAATAGTAACAAATCATCTAAAGATAGAGTTAAAATTGTTGCAGTGGAATTAAAAAATAATAATACTTTAGAAAAGAAGAAAGAAATTTTACATGATTTGTCAAAAAATAATGTTAACAATATTTTGAATAATGCATTAGATTCCAAGGCGTATGAGATGGAAAATAGTCATGGGGACGAGGCACCTGAGAAACCAAGTAGAATGCATCGAATAAACGTAACGAATAATTCAGTTGAAAATTATGATGATAATGTGCCAACACCACCGCGAAGAAGACATCGAAGTGGCTCGAGTATTCTTAAGGAAAATGTTTGTCGACCAACAATAAAAAGTAAAAATGAAGATCCTTATATCAATGACAGACTTATATAGAAGAAAAACAAAACATGTTTTAATCATTTCCTAAGCTTTTGCACAATTTCCACGGTTTGCTTCATACATAAAAATCGCTGATTCTTATTGTCTTGATTTCTTTTTTTGATATATGTACAATACTGCCGTACGAAGTAAAAACTTAGTTAACTCATATTTTGGCGAAAAATGAGTTTTTGGTATCAATGGATTCGTAATAAAAAAACGCGTCTGATGGTATTATTAAAAAATTTTTATTTAATTATTTATTGCAAAAAAATAATTATAAAAAATTGTCGAAAACCCAGAAAATGAAGAAATACTACATAAAAAGTATGCTAACTCGAGTTAAGGAGTCCGAAAGTCGTAGCTCGAGCATGATATAAGAAACAAAAACTCAGTCAACTCGAGTTGAGTATTTTTGCTGTCAAAAACGTAGTCGAATTTCATGCATAGTTTCGAAACGAAAACCTTAACTCGAGTTAAGTGAGTATTTATTTCGAAAAGTGGCGTGAGCTAGACCCTGTGTTTCGAAAGCAAACTCCTCAACTCAACATCGTTTAACTTCGGTTTCTCGTCGGGTTGGTTCGGAATCTCGCGTGCTATGATCATGCCGGTTTGTTATTCTTGCAAATAATGCACCGGCTTTTTAGAAAAAGTTTACTTTAGAAAAAAATAAATAAGTGAATAAGTGAAAAAAAAAACGAAAAAAATACAAAATTTTCTTTGATTTTTTTTACTTTTAAAAAGTTTAATTAATAGTTTTTTACTGTTGATTATTATATAAAGACTGTTGTAGTAATTATAAACAGCTGTTGTAAGTTATTTGAATATTATAAGCAAATATAATCAATGTTTTTCCACTAATAACGCCGTTTTTTCATACAATCCTTCTACACATTTTTAATTGTAATAAATTTTATACTGAAACATGTTGATTAAAATTTAATTTTTAAAAAAATATTAATAAATAATAAAATAATAAAAAAATATATAAATTAAATATAATAAAAATAATCTTTGTTAATCACAATCAGAATAAAATTTAACTCAAAAACAAATTTTTTATAATGTGTATTTATTCCCCCACCTCGCGTGCTAGCTTGAGTTAGGTGAGTTTTTACTTCTGAGCGGCGGCTCGAACTCGCCTACCTTTTCGGAAAGCACTCCTTAACTCGAGTTAACTAAGTTTTGCTTGTGTAAAAAAACACTTATCTCAATTATTTAATATAATTTGTTTAAATAATCAATTTTTGACAACGGATTTAGAAAGAACTCTATTTATTTACCTAGAAAGTGAAGTTAGATTAAAGAATTATTTATATTATATTAGGTTTTTTAAGACAAACAGTCTTTCATCATTTTCTCGGTTTCACGAAAATATGAGTTAAGTAAGTTTTTATTTCGTACGGCAGAATATGTGTAATATAATAAAGTGTAATATAAAATTAATTAAGAAATTACATACATATAAATATGTGAATGGGTGATGATCTTGTGTAATTTAATTTATTCCATTTATCATAATTTTATCCGTAAGTAATTATAATCGCATATCTGTAAACTTTAATCTAAAATAAAATATTTAAAAAAAAACATTCTTATTATAAAACAATAAATCTAATAATAAAATTTTTAAAAATATAGCTTTGGTGATGCTGCATCGAGCAATAAAATTAATCTTCTCTCGAGCCAGGAAGATGGAGAATAGAAAAAGAAAAGAAAGAGTTAAACTTTGTTAGAGCTGGTAGAAAGGGACTGTAATGAGGCTAAGGCGGCAGCAGCAACAATAATAATAACAACAAGAGGCAAGTATAGCAAATTACTATACAGACACGACTACTTCGTATTTAAATATCACTCCCTCTAATCTCAAAAACCCTATTTTAAGAGCTAACTCAACCGCAAGAAAATCCTCAACTTAAAGCTACAAGCATTGGTAAGGATTAACTAGTGACGAAAAACTAATTAGGTAGTTGGCCAAATAATTATCTGCATTAAGTCGTATCGTAACAAAAAACACACTTGGATACGGTGCGCAAGGATCTGCCTATCTAAGTAGTTGGTTGTCTCCTATAAATTTTCAGAAACTAAACGCCCCCTATATTCTCTTCATTCCCCTTTTGTAATGAGCTTCCAAAATTTACGGTTCCTCCTTTTTCTTATATAATTTCAACTGATTTAAATTTAGAGAGCAAAATAGGTTTGTTAATTTATCAGCTATACACTGTAAAAAGAAGTATCTTATTTTAAGATGTTTTGGTAGCGTTTTTAAGACATTAAGATGTTTAAGATGTCTTGATGTCTTGAAAACGCTACCAAAACATCTTAAAATAAGATACTTCTTTTTGCAGTGTATACGTATATTATGATCGCATAAAGAAAATCCATTTCCTTTTCATTATAAATATATAGGTGTTCTTGCTAAACGTACCAAAACATATAAGATTATTCTTACAATTTGGGGGGTGCAATTTGGCTCTTATGGTTGGCAAGGGTTCTGATAAGACTGTTTATTAAGGTCATTTCGCATTTAATAAGCTGAAACAACCAGTTTTCGTATATATACTATTCTTCCTTTACGTCATTCTATTCGTTAAATCTGACAAACTTTTTATTAATGATGAGACCATCAGTTTAATTTTTTTTAATTTGAGACAAAATTTTTGAATTGGGAAATTGTATTTATTTTCTTTTTCGTTTACGTATTATGGGTATTATCTTTTTTCTCCACGCCTAAGGCAAATACGATAGGATAACATTACTATACTGTAAAGCGAATGATGGCCTGATAAAAAAAGCTTTTATTACCCTGCAATTAAGCTTCTGTAAAGTTTCGCTCTTTTCTGCGCCAGGCCAAAACATTTTCTCACTTTAATAACGAAAATATCGTTAAAAGCGCGCTTGTAAAATTAAATGAAAACAATGCTGTTTAATTTGTAAATAATTAAATTGACTTCCATTCTATGATACAATACAATTGAATCTACACTTGATTGTACCATATTTTCCATTATAATATTTTAATTACAATTTCAAAAAATGTTTAAAAGGAACTTTGGATTTTTTTAATATCTTATTTCTTTTAAAAATTTATGAATATTGGGGTTTTGAAAAATTTTTAAATTTAACGATTTGGCAAAAGTTTGAAAATGGAATAAAGAGACCGATAATATATAGGATATTAGTTGAAATTTATTTGAACGCCTTAGGGCAATCTGCCGTTAAGTAGCGTTTTCCTGTGTGATACCAAATCAATATAAGTATAGGCATAACTTTACATATAGCCTCTTGTGTCATAGTTTGTGAAATTGCAATATATATGTGTGTGGACGGTTTAAGTTAACAGGGTTGAAGGTATTATTCGTAAATGAAGTTACGAGAATGTGGTTTAACAGCTTACAAACTCACATAACGACAATGGCTTTTGCACAGACTTTGTCGAATTATAAACACTTCTCACATGTTGCATCTTATTCTTCTTTAAACTCTCTTATACTTTGTTCAAAATTAAACCTTTTTCCTAAAAAGGGTTTCCATCATATTTTTAAAAACCATACCAAATTGATTGATTTAATTATAAAGTAAACTATGTTGCAGATTAAATAGAAGATGAAAATAATCAAATCAATCCATTTTGGTATTAAACAGAATTTACTATCAAGTTTCTTTTTGAAATGAAAAAAAATGATATCCTAATGTATTTTTAGGTTCAAGTAACTATTGCACATAAAACTGCGGTCGTTTCAGAATGATATTTTTTGGCCATGTTCCACACACTATACTGAGAAGAAATAGTCACGTGATAGTTGGCTCAGAAATATAATAATATGTTAGAAAAGGAGGGAAAAGAGGAATGAAAAGTCGCGCACTAGAAAGTTGGTAAGGTGTAAGTAGAGGCCTTATGAGGGCCCATTACATCAAAGTGGGGACAATGAAACTTTACCTTTTTAGGTTACATTCGTGTTAATATGCCGCACAAGGCCTAGAAAGACCAAAAACCTTGGTTTGGCGCTTTATAATATGAGAAAGGACTGAAAAGCACGACTATCGCAGTTACCGTTTGGCAGGAGTGCCAACGACGTGTATGACACTCACGCTCACTGTCGAGGAGTTTTAATGCCTGTCCCGTAAACGACACGTTTTGCAGTCCCTCCCTACACCCTTTCCCGCGTTGCTCTCATAATATATTTCTCTTCATTAATGTCCTATCTCCATACCGCCACCAAAATCCTTTTCAAGATTCTCGTCTTTCCTTCTATTAGCAATAATTATTATTGTTGTAATTCTCTCGATTTCAAAATTTACATAATTAGTGTTATTAGCAAAGATAATTTAAAAGAAGAAAGAGAATTCTTGGCAAAGTATTTAGTTAATTTGGAGAACAAAAATTATTACACTGAAAATATACAAATTTTTCAAGAGAAAGTGGATTTTTATATAATATATAATTTTAATTTGATAATAAGCATTTTCTTGCAATTGTAAACTGCATTTTTGAAATTCTGTTTTCTCTCACTCTCTCTACATATGTATATATATTAATATTAAAATTTCAAGAAATGCCGAGAGATCAATTTTTTTGTGATTTCGAGAGAAGAAAAGCCTCGAGCATGCCATTTTTGATAAGGCAAAGAGCAGGACATTTCGATAAATCGCTGAAAACATTGAGAAGAAGGAAAAAGTAGAATGAAAAAAAGAGGATTTAGTTCTAAGAATCGTATATACGATGATAAGAAAGAGAATAAAAAAAATATTGTAAATGGTTGTAAAACTTTTTTAAATTTAAACTTTGGTAAAACTGATGAAATTTGTAGGATTTATCTAGTCTTACTAAACATTTACTTGTACTACTGTTTTTTATACATTGAACGACATTGTGTTAGACTATAACCAATTTATACTACTGACGATAAGATTACAAAAAATTTACCAAGTCTGATTAAACATTTACTTGTACTACTGACAGAATTACAAAAGCATAAAAAACTTACATTGACCACTGTTTTACACTTTATATTTATAATGCCTGACTAAAACCGACTTGTACTACTATGATAACATTGCAAAAACTTTATTAGAACTTCCGACCAAATACTGGCTTGTACTACTGACAATATTACAAAAATCATCAAAACATCTGACTAAATATTTATTTATCCTACTTACAAAATTACAAACTATTAAAAAATCTTATTAAATGTATTAATAAAATTAAAAATTCCTCACTAAATATTGACCTTTACACTGCAAAAACTAGCCGTCTTAAAAGTTCAAAAAACGTCTTGTTTTAAGACACATTTGGTGTCTTAGACGCGAAAAACGTCTTAAAACAAGACGTTTTTTGCACTTTCAAGACGGCCAGTTTTTACAGTGTACTACTGATAATATTATATCAGTAGATAATTTCATTATGCTATTTTTTTAAAAAATATACTATAACAAAATCTGTTAAGAAAAATGAGAGCCGCTGAGGGGTAACAAGAAGAGAATGAGAGAAGGAGAATGAGAGAGAGAGAAAGAGAGGAGAGGGGATTGAGAGGGAGTGAGAAAGTTTTAGGATGAGTAGATTTTCACTAGCGAGCATGCGCAAAAGAATGAAGGAGAAAAGGAGAAAGAATGAATGAATTGCATAGTGTCCGAGTGAGAAAAAGATAGAAGAGAGAGTGTGGTCGAGGTGGAAATCGGTCCAAGGGTTGAAACGCGAGGGTGACACCCTGCCTGCAGTCTGACGCTTGAATCCTCCGTGCGCGTTTCCATGAGTACTGACTGCGGGGAAAGCTCGATCGTTTTCTTCCTTCTATACTATATAAGGGCACTGCACCCGCTACTTCATTTCTACTCGAGTCGGTCAAAGAGTTTAACACGTTCAAAAAAAAGAATTTTACCTTTTCCCTATTGAGACATATTCTATCTCTATAAAGAACATTCTCTACATTTTCATTTTGATAAATTTATTTCTAGTGAGATTTTTCTACATTTTATATTGTGAATCATAAAATAGCAAAAATAAAATCTATAATCTTATCAGTAGAAAAATAGTGTTTTAAATCAGTAAAAGTGGTAAAGGTATTCCAATTTTTTTTTCTTCAAAATTTAACTTTTTATTTTAATTGTAAATTTTGTTACATGCCTTTTTTAAAACTTTTTTTATTGCACACAATTTTTAATGGGGCAAAATTTGGCACACAAATTTATATTATTATACGTGTTCGTTTTTACAAATTTCAAGTTGGATGAGCAAGAATAAGAAATCGGACTGTGAGGGAAACTGGAATTGAACAGCAAGTGATTGAGAATGTCAGCAAGAGAGAACAATATTGTATAAAAAGGCAGATTAATCGGTAAGATTATTTTTTTTATAATAAATAATAATAATAATATTTTTTTATTTGTATTAAGTATAAAGAAAATGTTAAATGAAAAAAATATCATTTGTTTCAAATATAATTGGTTATTTGATATTTTATTTATATTAAATAATTATTTAAGTTAAATCGCATTTTTTTCAAATACAAAATTTATTACTTCAAATACAGTTTATTTAATTTAAAAAATAAATTATTCTGTTCAATTAAATATTTAGTTCAATAACTGATTATTTAAAAAAAAAATTTTTTTTGTAAATTTTCATATTAAACTTGAATATTTCTTTCTTATCAATTGCATTGAATATTAATTATATTATTCCATTTCTTTAATATATGTTATACCTATAATAATTA